AACGTATCATGCACACCTTATACAAAAACAATATATACATAATTCCCATTCATACTGAGTACGATATTAGTTTGATGGCCATACACGTTATTTCAAGATATTTACCAAATTTATTACAGTGCTTGACCTTCTCATAAATATATATTCTGTGCGCGCGGGTAATATCTGGGATGTCCACTTCCCTGAATATAATGATGATGCCGTCAGCCCGTGAATTCGCTCCATCCACCATTTCATCATACCATTCCGTCAGCTCGCCATTTCCAAATTACCACACTTCTATGCGTTTCTAGGCAAAACCTACTAAATCCAGGACTTCCATTGAATTCCAACTATCTAATTACTGAAGTCAACGCATACTCCAACACGCCTTCTCTCCGATAATTAATTTCAATCTTTCCAAAACACGAAAATTGCCAGCACATGCTACAGCATGTTGTCGGCTCGGCATCTATGATCCCGCGAAGCTCCGGCATCCATATGTGTCTTCTCCAGTCAGTCTAGTCTTTCGACTGTTTTTTTAACAAAACAAAAAAGCTCGCTTTCCTGAGTCGCCGAGATCTTTTGGAACATTTTTCCATATTCCATTTTTTTCTATTCTGGTTTGGCTCCTATCAGAGGTTCTGAAAGTTTTGCCTTTTAATTCGCCGCGTTCCCCAAAGTTCATTGCCCTCTGGTTCACCTGCTTTGCCGAAATTCGAACTAATTTCGAAAGCTACTTACATCAGTTGCCTATATTCAATTGTCATTCCGTGTAAGTATATTTCTGCCTCTTTCAGTTCTTCTGAATTTTTGTACCCCCTTTTCGAATTGCTTCCGCATTATTCTTAAATTTATTTATTTATTCTTCTTGATCTTTTTATTGATCATTGGACGAATGGACCGTCCCAACAGATGTCTTACCGTGTGTTTGGATTTTGGGTGGGGTGCATCTTCCCTTTAAACTATCCCCTTTCTCCGGGATTCATCCCTGGCGGCACAGTAAGACTCTTCGCATGAGCGCAGACTACTCGCAAACGAGATAGTATGTACTACATATGTTTTTTCTTTCAAATAAAAGGTTCATGATGTGGTGAATACTACTATGCAAGTACGTCTCTAGGGGTAGACCTTTCTTTCAGCCGCTCTCAATTCATTTAGGCTTGATCAGCAACGTTGTGTTCGGATATTTAAAATGCTTGCATGGGGCAATTTCGAACACCATACCGATTTGTTTTTCAAACAATTTCTAAGTACATCCTGTGTCCGACTCCAATGGCCGAAGTTGTTAAATGGCGTGCATGGATTCAGCGCTTCGGACCAAAAGGTCGGCGGTGTGAGTCACGCATAGGGATTTTAATTTGATGAATATGTTTTGTAGAAAACTATTGAGAATTCGAGAAAATTTATTTAAAATCATTTGTTGCACTTCTACTCAGTAATACAATCAAGAGATAGATAAACCGGATGTCTGTATGTGCTTTTCGAATTTGCAACTTGGAGACATTTTTTTAACCATCTTATTAAATTTCTAAAACTTATTTCACGTCGAATCAACTGTCATTTATCCATGTATATGAACTGTATGATTGATGAAATTGAATTAAATACTACCTAATTATCAACTTGAAATTTAAATATGTTATTAACCATTAGCCCAACCTAGTTTTTCTTTTAACGTAATGTATTCTTAACTGTCCCAAATAATATTACTTTGCGCTCTTACGGAGGCTGTTGCCATACGGCGCTTTTAGCGTAGTGGTATGGGTGTCGGCAAGTTAACTTCTTTTTTGCTGGTTGGAATACATTTTACAAGTTTTTGTAATAGTATTACACAGCGGAGCAGTTAGAAATAATGCGAGAATGTATGTGTTTTGTAGCACAACTAGTTTTTATTCCAATAAATTCCGTTCCCTACTGACGACACATCTATCGCATAGCCTCATGGAATTGGCCACGCGTGCCGCTGCAGTGGTTCAATTTGTGAAGTGCTCAGCTGAGCTGCTGGTGAAGCGGGCGGGCCGGGCCGGGCAGAGCGAGTGCTGCGGAGCGAGGTCACTTTTGGTGGAGGGGGAGGTGGGATGGGCAAGGTCAGCGCGACAAGGGCCCCTCGTGTACGGCCCTGCTCGGAACAACTACGCGACAAAACTGCAGGCCGACAAGTGCAGGGGAAAAAGCTACCCACTTACACACGCCTGAAGTTAAAAGTACATGTAGTCGCGTGGGTTATTTAAGCGTCCTCGGAGAGCGCAAATTAAATTATGTTCATTATTTTCTTCTGCGATTTTCAGCGCTTTACAGAAAAGAATGGTGTCTCTCTTTCCAACCTAAAAAAAGTTTTACCAGTCTATCTTCATGCGTCTGTCAAACAAAGCATCATTAAATAGTTTTAGTGTAAGAAGGAAATTACTGAAAAACAATATGGATAAAAACAATTACACAATTTTGTGTTATTATTAGGGTCTTTCTTGCCTAAAATGTAAACGAAAAATATATGGGTACCATAAGAGCAACATGTGATTCAAGTTTACAATTTACATTAGAAGCAATTTAGACCTACATTAAAATTAATTTAGTATAATAATGATACAATATTATTAAGAATACATAAAGTACAAACTAACAGCAATGGATAATAGTAATATGAAATGGGCTTCATTGGTGATTGGCAGACTTACCAACAAGACATTATTTGTCGAAACGGCGTCAAATCACTAAGATTAGGATTCCACCTTACAAGCACCACACACAAAACTATCTTTCTGCAATTGCCTTGCTTGTTCTTAAATCAGGAGCGAGTGAAAAATTATCGTATGAAAGAGGAATCTCGATGAAACACATTGGACTACAGTGCTTTTTATATAAATACAATATTTTGTATAACAAAAGTGTATCGGGACCGATCTATTGTTTTAAATAATTGTTTGATATGTGGCTTCGAAAATACTATTTGTAGAATTTTGTGGACGTAGATATTTTATGCAGAGTTTCATATTAGAGGAAATCTGAGTGGTAACTCTTGGATGCTTTGGAAACGTTATCCTGATTTCTAAAAGCCAGAGGAAAGTTGGAGATAGTGCCATTCTTGCATCTTCCTTAGATCGTGACCACGGCCATTGCACCGGTTATTTATGATACCAGGAAATCGTGGCAGGGAATGAAAATTAAGTTGATTACGTGATAATATTATGAGTTATAACTAGGCAAAGAATTTTAATTTTTTGTTGGATCACCGGGTCTCCCTATGTGTGCATGGTTCATTTTGTACTAAAATTGAGTTAATAGTATTATGGTTCTGATTTGTTTTGGCAACCAGGACATTGCTCTTTGTATTTCCTACCTAGTGTTACCTATGTTTATTCGGAATGCACAGCCAGATTTCTCTACTTCCTAGAAGACTCCAGGGAATTCCCCTACATCCATATGCTTTTGCGCTCGTCTTAAAATTCAAATAGAAAATATAATTAAATACAAGTACGTTTTCATGGACGAATACTTACATATTCTAAGCGGCATTGTATCACTTATGTCGACTTTAGCGCTTGTGGATTGCTCGTGCTTCATAACGTTAAAAAACGTATAAACGTTCTCAAACTGAAGCACAAATTTAATGGCGCTTTGTCCATATTCATAAGAACTACTAATGTGTTATGACAAGGGTATATTGACATAGTGCATAGTCATCTACAGTGCAATACGACAAACTTTACACTCGCACCGCATTTCAGTACACCGTAAAATTTGTTAATGTGCTGTTCCCTGTTTTCTGATTCTTTAACCGCCTGAATCACACGTTCGTTTTTAAGAGGAGGTACTCAATTTATACGCGCATATAATGCGGATCGCGATTTTGAGCAGATAAGTCGATAAAAGGTGCACTGTATACTCTGCAGTGTGCGGTAGTTTGGTGTGACTATTCCACTCTTTAGCTTATAGTTTCCATTCGGCCAATAGCATTTTATAATGAGATGTTATAAACCAGTCACGGGCGCCTAAAATCAAAACGTTCACACGTTTACTTTTTGCTATCTTGTCACAGATGATGTTAAATTGTTTTGGAAAATAAATACTCCTTCCATGATGGAAACTGCAGTATCAGTATAGACTCTGAAACAACCCTCCAAGAAATATTTTTCGCTATTTTTAATATTATGTTCATACTATTAAATCGATTTGTGACTTTTATTCGTAAAATAGTCCAGCCGAATTCCACTAGTTTGAAATTTTGCAGATAATTCCGCTTGTCGAATATAATAATGTAAAATAATAATAATAATAATAATAATAATAATAATAATAATAATAATAATAATATAATGTAATGTAATATAACAATAATAGCAATAATTACCAAGTGGTAACCATAAATATAAAGATATACAACACATATACATTTGCAATACAAAAATATTTTAAAATATAACACAATAAAAGAAACTACAGTAAATACTACTACAAAAGATGGTATATTGCAATACTGCCCTTGGAGACATATGCAAACTCAACCGTTAACATTAATAATAATTTTACACATTTACATACACATACGCACAGCTTTTACAGACTATTGATAGGCAGATTACATCCCAATCTGATTTATTACGTACATATATGCCTGAATACATACATGCACCCATTTACCGAAGCCCGTCCATAGACATGATTGCCCACTCAACACTCACCTTTGACTCGTACATACACACATCTACATTTGCACACTTACAGTCCAGAAAAAATGTACTGGCCACACAGATATATGCATATACACATATACGTATGCACAAATACTAGATACAGTCGTGGATGCGTTTTTTTAAATAATACAGAATCACAATATGAATATTTAAGTTGACTTTGTAAACATCCGGCTTTCTTCTCCACCCACACTACCTCTTCACTTCACTTCACTTCGCTACTCTTTCGCCTTCACTTTGTTTATTCATAGAGCTAATCGATATAACGTTTGACTGCGCAATTACGTACGAAAATGCTGTGAGTGGTGTGGCGGTGGCTGTTTGCAGATGTATGGGCGCTACACGCGCGACCTGGGCGAGTTCGCCAAGGAGGAGGCGCGGCGCGTGCGGGCCCTGGAGCGGCGGCGGCGCCGCGACGACCGCCTGCGCAACAAGGAGCTGCAGGCCAAAGCGCGCGGGCCGTGCGCGCAGCGCGTCGCCGCCGCCGCCGCCTGCGTCTGGCGGCACACCTTCGCGCGCCTCGGCGAGGACTGGGTCTTCCTGGCGCTGCTCGGCGTCATCATGGCCCTGCTCAGCTTCTTCATGGACCGCGGCATCAGCATGTGCAACAAGGGTGAGTCGACGCGGCATCTCACGGTAGGCGTCTGTCCGTGAGGAAGGTATTATGAAGCTGCACATTTCGTTTCAGTAGTTTCGCGATAACTTTCGCAACGGAACGTGCAGTTTTAGATGTATTCCTATTTCAAGAATTGTTCTCTATTTTATCCCGAGTTTTATCGGTGAGATTCATTAAAATATAGTAATTTAAATGGCAAACAGATGTCGCAACGTCCACAGTACTCGTATGTTTATTTCAAAACTAATGTTAATAAAGTTTTTGCTGTTACTGAATTTGTATCATTGGTCTCTTTTCACTTACATGTAAATGTTGTTTTCACGTATGTGAATTGTATAAATTAACATAAAATAATGGAGATTTTTCTCTTAATTTCTGAATCTTCATACGTTCCATATTAATTCTGTTTTGACTTACTCGCCTTTACTTCATTAAACCAGAAAGTATTCTAATAGTACGTCGGAAAACTGCGAATTTTCGACAGGAAAATTCTTATTGCCGGGGACTGGTAACGGAAAATTAGATAATTCTTGTTCGTGTATACAGACGATATCAATTTCTTTTTTAAAACCTACCTTTAGCGAGACCCAGGTATAAAGACGTGGACGTAGTAGCATTCTGTTCCGGCTTCTCGGCCGGGAGCTGGTTTCAAGAAGGTACCCCCGCCTCTCACACAGAAGTGTGCTCTTTTTAGGAGAGTCCCTTCTCTCAAGTCGACATGTTTTACTTCAACAAATGTTCAAAACAGTGCCCATCTTCTTTAATATATTTTGCAATTCTTCGAAAAAACAATCTTATTTCCATTGGTTGCTCTACATTAGTTCTAATACGCTACACACTCTACACTTGAAATTTCCTGTTTAATTTGCTGCCACATGTCTTCTGGGGCTGTTCGAACTTCACCCAAAGGACATTTTCCACATTTTCTCAATTTTTCGGTTCCCCAAATGCTAGAACTGAAACAGTCTCTCTTTAGGACTGTTATGGTAGCATAGAGGTAGCATAGCTTGTTCCTCCGAATGGTCGAGGTTGTTAAGTGGCGTGTACGGATTCAGCTCTTGCAAGGTTCAAGTCTCACACGGGGATTTTAATTTGATGAATGTGTTGTTGGAGAAACTATTGAGGATTCGAGTAAAGCCCTTCTACGCATAAATATAATCAATATATACATAAATAAACGATACATGCCTTATATGGTTTTCCAATTTGCAACTTTTAAACATTTTTTCAACTGTCATTAGACAATATGTCACGTCATATCAATTGTTGTCTATGTGTGAATCCATATGAACCGATTTAAGTGAATTAATGAGTCTAACAACATGAAATCGAAATAAAATATATACACTACCTATGGGACAGACTTAGATATCCTTGACCGCTGTCAGGAAGGAATGGTTCAGGAAAGTGCTAGGTCCGAGTCCTGACGATGGCAGTATTTTCGACACTAGTGAGATAGTGCGTGATCTGGGCTGTCCGGGTGACGCCGCGTCGAAGGCTGTGTTGTCGAAGTTTCGACCATCTTGTCGTGGTCTTCCTCAGGGCTGGTATGAGGAAGATGAGGACCTGATGATAGTCGAAACGGCAACACAGCCTTCGACACAGCGTCACCCGGACAGCCCAGATCACGCACATGACTCTGGCCGCGGAATCCTACGACTTCACTAGTGAAGACTTCACTAATCTTCACTTTGTGGAAGACAATTCTAGCGGCCGGCTGCCATGACCGGGAGTTTTTTCAATGGTTTCTCTGATGAACACAGGCGAATGCCGAACCAGTACCATACCAAATTGGTTCTTGGACCGCGCGCCACCTTTTCTTCCCATTCCTTGTCCTATACTACCCTTTACGTACACACACACTTACATGCACCTCACTACCACACATGCCCGGAGACTGGAGGGGAGCTTGGAGTTTGTCTCGGCTTTGCGATGCACCTATGGTTGGGGAAAAGTGGCTAGCCTACGGTAGGTCGGCGCTGGATTTAGCCACTCAGATCACTACCTCCCGAGAAAAATACATGTTCTGCACGTACGGGACCAATGCTCTTAGCAGTGGACGCGCCTGGAATCACTGTCAAACAATCAATCCACCTTACAGCTGTTAGTCCGTGTGTGACCAATTGTAGCGCCTAAATCGTTCAGCCGATTTTCTCCAAAGTCGATATTCCGTGATCAATCTGAACGAACTGGAGGTTTTGGGAGTTTCTAACGGATATTTTGATTTTTGATGGTTTTCTACGAAAATCTCGCATTTACCCTATTATTTCTGTGCCCGAGTTCGATCCATGTGGCGCTTGTGTGGCGTAATAGTATATGTGCCGGTAATATAACTCTGCGGATCTGTGTTCGAGTCTCGGAACGGGAAAAATTGGGGTTTTAAAATACTTTTGCTTGTTTATGTAATTGTATAATATTGCGGAGCATATAGAAATAATGCGAGAAAGTGAGTGCTTTGGTAACACCACTAGTTCTATTTTTCACATCGTATGTATGTATGTATGTATGTATGATGACGAACGGTCAAAAATGTGGCGGTATGTCTGTATTTTTGAAAATTGCAGAAAATTAACATTATAATACTACAAATTTGAAGATGGAAATGTTTGTCATAATTTTCTTTTAGTAAACGTGTAGTTTTCGCGCAATATTAAACTTACCTGCAACTGATATATCTTATTTACAAAAAAAATGGAGCACTGTTGATACGTAAAGACTTATACATTTTTTGATCCATTGTTTCGAAAAGAAATCTGTGTAACATTTATTATTTAATTAAATTTCCACACACATTCAGTTCGCTCATATGTATTAAATGTAGATAAAAAAATGCAATATTACCGTACAAATTTTCTCATGTGTATTGCTCCTTCCTCAAGTGGCGAAGCGAAGCCGTTTGGGTCATTGCTCAACCCGTGAATCCGTTAGCGGACGCAGGAACCTCGAACTTCAGACTCCAGGTGATAAAACTTTCGAACGAGTACGAGCGAGCAAATGGGACGCCTTGCAGCTCACTGTTGTGAACAATATGTTGGGCTTGTGGGTGCGAGCGTTCGGCTGTTCAACTCGAGTGGCAGCAGCTACCTTCGAGGCTCTGCGCGCTCACGGGCGGCAACGAGCCTCAGAACCTCCAGGTCCACACAGGCCTACACATGTACTACTACATTACCGCACATACACTACATTACCGCACATAGATACACTACGTTACCGCACATAGATACACTACGTTACCGCACATAGATACACTACATTACGGCGAGAACTTGGAGCTAGTCCTGGCTGGGGGCGACGCCTCTTAAAGAAGATGACTCGTAGGGGAGCAAGCCGACATGTAGGTCGGAGCTTGTTCTACCATCCAGCGGGGCGGCGATTAACTCGACCTTCTGGGTTATAACGTTCACTACACATACGGGATATGTCCCAAGCTGATGAGAAGATAAATAAATCAGTAACTTGTGTACCCGCAAGTCCGGCGCTGTGTGGTCATGCAGTGCCGCCGAGAAGGACAACTCGAGACAGCATGACGGGACGCTTGCTTCGGATAGCCTTGTGGAGGTCGTCGATTATGTTCACTGCCGCTAAGTATTATTCATGATGTTGCGCGCCCTGAACTGCGGTAGAATGGATGCCTGCATAAGCGTGTCGGCACGTGACGTCTGTCTGCCTCTGCGTTATGAACCTCTTCGGCCAAGAAGTTGTTTTGGAGACAGTGCACCTAAGGTTGTAGGTGGCTGCCATTATTGGCGTAGCGCTAGAGATTTAGACCCGATTTCTAGTTCTTTCGCCAGGAGGTTGTGTATCCAACTGCAACGCACTTTTAAGGTCCTTAAGGCAATGCCGTTCGTAGGATTTACTTGCACGATTTCGCACGATTTACTTGCAAAGATGTTATTGGTTTAAAAGATGTATGGCCAGCGGAGCTGATCTACATGGTCCTAAGATCGTGTGTGTGCATGGCAGGCACTGGCATTACAGCAGAAACAACGCGAAGTTCAACGTACTCACGATGCGTATGGGATCTAAATTCGGTCTAAATTTGTGACCATTCCGGTTCACATGAATCACGGTCGTCTTCGACAGGCATCGTCCCCCATACACTGACCGTCGGTGAGACTCCTCTGGTTTGCATCTCCGTTAAATAAGCACACTGCTCTCGGACGGATTCGGACCCACACCATCCATTTCGCCGCCCCGCACGGCCGTTGCGACCGGCTTAGATGGCTCAGGGCATCAACTGATATCACTTCAGTGCCTCTGACCGGGAGGTTCTAGGATTCTGGTCCCCACGATGCCAGGATTTTCTACTATAGCTAGATGGCTACGCGAAATACAGCCGCTGTCTGGAGGAGAGTTCTAGCTGCTCTGATCGGTAGTTTTCCGTGGTTTCGCCTATCAATATCAGGTGAAGGCCGGAGCAGTACCCTAAAAAACGCCATGGACCGTCCACGATCTCTTGTCCTGTCCTTACCCCTTCCTTTCACACACACTTACATGTACTACCACACATGCCGGGAGACGGGTCGGGAATTTAGAGTTTGTCCCGGCTGGGGCGGTACCCCATTGGTGGGACATAAATGGTTTAGGGTAAACCCCGTTAGCCGACGGTAGGTTGGAACAGGATCTCGCCATCCAGCAGGGAGGGTTCACCGCCATTTCCCGCGCTAAAACTACACTACACTTATGGGACTAATGACCTTAGCAGTTGACACGCTCCGAATCGTCAGTGTATCAGTCCTGGTTGGAGAAAACCCCGCTAGACGATGTGTAGGTCGGTGCCCGATATCACCATCGAGCAGGGGGAATATCACTGTCACTTCCCAATGAGAAAGCATGTACTACATTTTCGGAACTAATGACTTTACAATTAGCAGTTGATGCGCCTGAAAGTACGAAATAATCAATCAGCGGCTGTTGCGGTACTAATAATTCAGTAATATACTGGCATCAATACTCACTCTTTCATTACAACGTATTTTAAATAATACTTTTAGGTTATATTGTATGTTAATACTTATAGGTTTCGATAACTTGCCCATATCTTTTGATAGCTACTATACCGAAGGCAACATGGAGAAAAATTCCAAAAAAATGTCTTTTAAAACTAGGTTTTTATATAAATTAGTTTGTGAAGAAAAATGTATTATTTAATAATTATTTAATTTTTTAGTAAATACTAATTTATTAACATTATTATTATTATTATTATTATTATTATTATTATTATTATTATATTCATCGGATTGCCCTTATGACGGGCAATACATGAAAAGATCTTAATTCTCAAAACACGCTAATGAAGATCCTACCATGTAATACAATCGACAAGAATTATGATTTAATGAAGTTTCTAGATCCACTTCCGAGGATCAGTTCGACAGCTTTAAACGTTTTCTTTTTAAATAGATGTATTCAGTCGTTGAAACTTATTTTTGAACATTTAATAGAGACTGTATTCAGCTGAAAAAGTTAACTATGCTTTACTTTGTTTTCAGACATTAAAGTTCCTTTAAAATTTAATCTATAACTTTGTCCTTCCAAATAAGTTGTCGTTTTCCAACATAATTAAGAACGGTCCAAGGTAGAACATACCTAGGACCCAGGTACAACACCTGTGTTGTACTACAATGGCAGCATCTAAGTTTCCTAGTCATTCTTCCACGTAACTTTTTAAATTTATCCCCCCAACATTATTCTTCTCCTCCTTCCTCCTCTCAACCACACTTTATGTATCCTTATTCCTTTCCAAACCATCCGTTACCTCACATTTACTCCCTCCTATCCCCTTTCCCTCTCCCTAAACAGGAAACAATTAAAACTTCTTTAGCACGTGTTCCGAGGGATTTCATAAAAATTACACGCCCATAACATAATCATTACCCTCTCTACAAACTTTTCTAAATGTTAACTACTCTTCAATCCTTTTTCAGAATTGTCCTTTTCAGCACCACTCCACTTCTTGCGTCTTCTTCTCCAATTTGATAACATCTTCACCATACTATGTCCATTCTCTTCTTACCTTATGGTAAGACTGCGACCACCACTCTACCCAGAATTTTTTTCTAATCTTCTCTGAAATAGTCCTAACACTTCATTCTCGTGTATACATACAACTGCAATTACTTGCAAATCGTCCCTTGTATTGTTCCTTCCGTAGCATTTTCACCACTACTCAATTCTCCCACTTTCCTCAATTCTGCATATTTTCTTCATATCCCTCATTTCCACCACATCCAGGTACCTTTAATTATTCTCCTTCATGTTTTCACCGAGACATGATTGTTCACCATCTGTTTTCCTAATTCCATCGGCTACGTCACCCACCGTAACGTTAGTAACTACTTCACCACATTTCTGTCCAGACCAGCTCTTCGTTTCCGCTCGTCTCAGCACAGGTGCCGCTGATTTTTTTTTCCTTCGTGATTTATCATTTATGCTCATTATTTCCAGCTCGTCTTTGGCTGTACAACGACCTGGCTACCCACCCCGTCGCCAAGTACATGGCTTGGATCAGCCTGCCCGTGTGCCTCATCCTCTTCTCTGCAGGCTTCGTACACATCGTTGCTCCGCAGTCCATAGGTGGGTACCCCATGCGAGTACATTATTTTGAAGGCACGTTGGCCCAATTTGTGAGTTGTTGTTTTAGTAGATTTTTTCCTTAGCAAATGTGTGTTAACGTAACTCTAAGTGTTCGGGGAATAATTTAGGGAGGATTTCTTACTGAAACTTTAAATACTCATAACAGTCAAATGCATGTAAAAACGTATGAATGACACCAATAATATTAATAATTTAACAATCTTATCTATTTATATATTTGTGTGCTTTCTACATAATTGCAACTCTGATTAAAGTGTAATTTTACTTTTAATAATTTCATTCTATATATCATCCATTTTTTTAAATTCCAAGCATAATTATACTCATATTTGGTTCACCTCCGATGATGCACATAAATATTACGCGAGACTCGTGTTCCAAAATTCTATGAGAAAATAAACTTTTTTTTTTAACTTACGCTGATTGTCTAAAAAGGAAAAAAGAAAACCCGAGTGATCCTTACCCCTGAGTTACACCCACGTACCTGCACTACACTACCACACATGTCGGGAGACCGGTCGGGAATTTAGAGCTTGTCCCGGCTGGGGCGGTGCCCCGCTGGTGGGAGATAACTGGTTGATGGTAAACCTCGTTAGCTGACAGTAGGTTGCAACCGGATCACGCCATCCAGCGGGGAAAGCTCACCGCCACATCCCGCGATAAGCATGCACTACCCGTTCGGGACCAACTCCCTTTGCCGTTGAGGCGCCCGGAATCGCTAATCCCTCAATGAATGTGGCTCTGGCCTGTTGCAGGGTCCGGCATCCCCGAGATGAAGACGATCCTGCGCGGCGTCGCGCTCAAGGAGTACCTCACGTTCCGCACGCTCGTCGCCAAGGTGGTGGGGCTGACGGCCACGCTGGGCAGCGGCATGCCCCTGGGCAAGGAGGTGCGCGCGGCCCACGCCAACACCCCTCTCACTTGCTTATGTCGCCCCTCCGGGCGACCTGGAAGTCATCGGAGTCGTTTTTACTTGTATCATTCAGTTCAGCCAAATTATAAGTTGACGTATAAACCAATATAAGAATAGCAATCCATAAGAATACCAAAGGAGTGGTTTATGGGAGGGGGAATCTCACGTCCAGGCTCGCGAGCGTTGTTACGCGTCGACCGTTTCGCCCCCCGCAGTCTTGACCTGAAACGTTCGGGTTTAGAAGTACCTCAACAGACCTCAAAGTCTTCTCAGAGAGAATACCTCAGCTCCTCAAAGTCTGAATGTTGACTATCAGATTCAGTTTCATGCTATTGGTAGTTGCATATATTGTAGTTATATAAACTCCCAAAAACGAAAATGCTACATCGGTGTTCTGTGATCCAAGTAATACCATGTGCTAGCCAGTCCTTTCGTATTGCCGGACGGTATACCAAACATTTTGTAAGTCAACCGATAATCCAAGAGATTTGCATTCATTCTCCAAATATTCATTTCGCCAACACAAGGTCCTACCAAACTCCGAAATTTCGTTGACTGATACAGGACCACTGACTGCCCTTATGACTCTCGATCCAATTTCCTATTTCAGACTGCCGGCTTCCCCTTGTAGTGGAGGTCTCAGAATGTTACGAACTTGTAAGGGTCTGGTAGGGGTAGGATCTTTTGTGAATGAACGTATGGTAAGAAGACTCATATAACGAAGGTAGCTATTTGACTTTCGCCCCTATTTGGTAAGAAACTCAATTTGCACTGGTGCTTGGTAGGATCATATCCTTTTGACTGCGTTGCAAAGTGTATTCTGCCAAAGAAAATCATAGGCCCAAAATTCTGCGATAAAGTGTCTGTCAATCCAATTATCTACCTTCTTGTGTATCTGTATCAAGTAATATTGCGTCGGTGTCATATCTGCGAGAGAAAAAATTTAGTATGTACCATAATTATTAATTTTAAAAACTTTCATAGTAAAAAATAAAGAGTATTATTGATTTTATACCACCGTTTGAACAGCCTGTTTTAGCAAATCATAAAATATCTCCATTGTAAATGAACTGATGATGCAAATGTGTATAAAATGATACAATATTGTTAACAATGTACAAACTTCGTTATTAAGTATAGAAAAATATATCGTGTGGTTACATGGTATATTTTACTATTTTAAAAAAGTCTAATGTTAATTCTTCCATTATTAATTCTACAAATGACATAGTATCATGATAAATAGTAATTTCCTAAAATCTAAAATTGGTTTATTCTGTTGAGTTGCATATAACATTTTTTAATGTAATACTGTAATTTTGCAGGGTCCATTCGTGCACATTGCTAGCATAGCAGCGACCCTGTTATCCAAATTGGTAACGTCCTTTCAAGGAATCTACGAAAACGAATCTCGGAACTGCGAAATGTTGGCGGCTGCGTGTGCGGTGGGCGTGGCAAGTTGTTTCGCTGCGCCGATAGGAGGTGAGTTGGTTGCTTTCACGCCAGATCAAGCAGACCTGTTGTTCTGTTTAGAACCACCAAAGGCCATACGTATATAGAATCACATCAACTATTTGCATTTTGTTTCAATGGAATCTCGCCGTAGTGCCATCTAAGTCGCGAATCAACAGGGTTCTGGCCAAGGGCCCCTTTCCTGGGGGTCGACAGTGTAGGAGAACGTTTTCCGAAAAGAAAAATTAACGAATTTCTGCGAAACATTTGGTTTTATTGATTTATAAATTTATCACGCTTGTAAATACTGGTTTATTTATTTGAAATTGAAACAACCTGAATACATTATGTTCAACACACGAAATATTCATCGTGAATTATCGCCAACTTGTCTGCCTGTTCTTTAAAAAGAAATAAAAAAAGCTCGAATGCATTCTCACGAGCGACGCGTTTTCACAAAATATTAAAGATCATGTCAAGCAAGCGCTTATGATCTACAAATCCATTATGGAAAAATAAAGACTTCGAATTCAATAGACCTTGCAACCGTAAAGAAGAGTGGAACACACGGTCCTTAGAACAACACTCAATCAGGAATGCCCTCGACCTGTCACATCCAATATCTGGAATCCTACTCCGACGAAAAACGTGGTGCATTAAAAAACACGATAGAAGTGGGTATGGAAGTGGGTGAAACACCAGATCGATGGAAAATGCAGTAGCGGATTGTGCTAAAATTGCGTTGAAGTGCTGTCCCCTAGAAGAAATCTTACACTAATTTTAGATTACATACGTTATGTTATTTTCCTTCTTTGACTCATTCCGTTCGCAAGTTCCGTTCGAAACTTTCACCGACAAATCTCTCGGCTTTGAATTATAAGATCTAATATTTGTTTAAATTAAGACATTCAAATTTATTTTGTAAGATTTGTTGGAAGAAAACCCGGAGTTGCATTTGTAAAATCGCTCAATCCATATTCCTTTAGTCGTATCATTACAAGAAGCAAGGCCAACAAAAAGCTATTGTAAATATATTTTCCACACAACCTTGGTAAATCACTACGTACTTTCGGGAAACTGTATATGATTATTTTTGTTCCAGCTCAGAATTTCATTTCTAGGGTAAAAAATGTTGCGGTGGCAAACGTAGGGAAATCTGTAGCAAATGAATACAGCACTTACGCTCACGTAATAGAGCGTACGCAAAGCATGCGTAGACGCATGTTTGGGGCTCTCACGTGGTTCAAGATGAAGAACGCAGCAAGAAGAAGCCTTGAATTTCTTTACATCTACCGTTGACTTCGCGGTTATTTTGAATGTGCTTATTTCGAATATGCTATAATTGTAATTATGCTATTTGTTCAAATGTATAAGAAAGCTTAAATGTTTCTCTCATAATCGCAAATATTATTTAGTTTGTTGGACGTTCTTCTGGGAATTACATATTTTAACAGATATACCTTACGCCATGAATAATATAATAATAATTTATATTATTATTATTATTTATTATTTATTATGTATTATTATTATTTATTATGTATTATGTATTATTATTATTTATTATGTATTATGTATTATTATTATTTATTATTATTATTATTATTATTATTACTGTGAACATGGTTTTGTGAGTTGTGCTGCATTCTTGAGTGAAATATGCATAGCTCTGAACTGAAGCATTCTGGCCTGTAATAATGTGAAGGGTTTCCGCTCTGGATGTCACAAGTCAGTAGGAGGCGTAATGGTTGCGCCTCCGATAGAACGTAAAGAAATACACTATGCATTTTATACTGTTTGATTTGTACTTTTCTGCTTTTTATTGTATTAACAAAATTGTAACCTGTATAACATTTCTGTAGACCTAGGTTATTTACTAATCATAGTTATTTAAATCCAATTCATTTTTTCCGAATATCTCATCGATATTAAGTGACACTTTCATTTGTATCAAATTTTCCTTATTCTCCTGAAACAAGAGAAAGGGGGAAACTGTATTATATTTATTTTTTTAAATTTTATATCTATTTTCTTTACAATATTTTTTTTCGAATAATATTGGCTAGATTTAAATGTACCCTATTATAATTTTTTAAGTGTTACAAAATATATTATTTTTTTTAAATTTCCTGTAGGTGTTCTGTTCAGCATCGAAGTAACAACTGTTTATTTTGCGGTTCGTAATTATTGGCGAGGCTTCTTTGCGGCCGTGTGCGGAGCCACTGTCTTCCGTCTGTTAGCCGTTTGGTTTCAAAAGGAAGGTGAGTTAAGAAATGACAAAATGGTAAATAATGAGGGGAAAACGAGAAATGTAAGAAACTGCTTCAATTTACACCTGGCACGTCACAATATTTCATTTGTTATTATAAAAAAGCGGCGTGTCTTTAGTGAGAGGCGTGTATAAGCAGTGATGAAACTCCCACCCGCATACAAGGTCCCACAACTAAATTAATCCCGCACTACTCCACCCAAGCCAAAGTCACATAAATATTTCCTCGTAAGATCCTCCCATAAACGGTTAAAATGTCAGTTTCGGTGCTCATCCAAATTAAATCTTATTGAAATGAAATTGGGTAGAGGTGACACGCTGCGTTTTTAAATGTGTTTAGTCAACGCGGTAGTGGAATAGACTAGAAATAGGCTGAAAAAAAATAAGCTCCCTTTCTAACGCCATCGAGCCCCAGGCCGTAAGGATAAAAGGCATTGACTAACTGCTACGTTACGTGACAAAAGAAAACTTACTTAACGAAGATTTACTCCAGATGTACATACGCTCAATGCTCAAAGGGCTGAGAGCAGTGTTGCGAAAAGTGCGAAAAGATACAAACAATTTAAAAAAAAAAAAAAAAGAGACAAAGAACTCATTTTAAATTTAAATAGCAACATCTAATCAATGAAACAATTTTAGATGACATTCTTGAAGCATAAAGAGAAAAAGGTTTAAATGTCTCTTTAACCATTAATAATTTTCATTTTGTAGAAAATTTTAGTCAAGAAATATTCTTTACTGAACCTAAATTATCTAATCTTAACATCATTATTTTTTAATGGAACAAAATGATATCAATACATTACCGTGAACAGCACATTTTAATGAAATGAAATATGCATTTAAGGAAAGAATTAGAAATTGAAGGGCTTGAGAACAGTTCTAGTTTGCAACTTAACAAAATTTGAAATATTGCAATCTACAGAGCCCTGAGTCTTCCCGTTTGTCTCTTTAGGTTGCAGTAAATAGCAGAGTAACATAGAAATTCTTTTAAATTCTTTATAGTTATGGGTAACTTGTAGACACAATCTGTGTTATAGCTCAATTTCAGTCTAAAATGGCATAGAAACGTGTCCTTCTGAGCTCTTAGACATGTTAACAGGAAATCTGAATTTTTATGAATTCATGGTTTAGTAAAGAATAAAATATGTCATGTGTGTCTTTAGATCTTCTGGTCTTAGGCAAGTAGTAGTTATTCAGTTGATTTCTGCTACCCTAGGTTAAAAAAAATAAATCTTTATAACTATAGATACATAAATTAGTAAAACAGGCCACATAAAAACAGGGATGGATTAACGCATAAGCTGACCAAGAATGTGCTTAGACTTGGTTTGTGCTTAATCTTGGTCCCACCCTGAGAAAAGGTATCCAATTATTTTATTTGAAACATTTTGTTAGTTCATAAATATGTCAAAATCTTTTAATATTACATCTTAATTATTAAATTACAAATGTTATAGCTTTCAAATTAATTTTCAATACATGCATTCAATAATATTGTGGGACCCCATAGCTTTGTCTTGTTTACAGCCTATTCAGACTTAAACCGAGAACAAATTGTTGAATTTTAACTCTGATTTATCTTACTATTCCCAAGATTAGTTTTCATGTCAAAACTGGTTTCATCGTAAGCGATTGGGGAATATCAGAAAACACAAAGGTATAAATGTGCTTAAATGTATATTATATGTATGTTACAGCAGAAAAGTTGAATAATTATGATTTAATATTACAAAAAAATAATATTAAATTGAAAGAATGTCTTATTTTAGGGCTAACTAGAAACAGCACCTATTGTTCACTTCACATTAATTCAATTTAAAATATATGTTGATCATTACAATTCTACAAATTCACAAATACTTTTCTTAGGACACTAAGAAAAATATTTTCAATCTTCTGCTTAATAGAAATTGTTAAATTCAATCTACAACAGTGCTGGTTTTAAATATATGATTTCATTAAATTTTAGAGAAGACGGTTATGAAATGATTTTCATGACCATGTCAATTAATTAAATAGCCTGTAGAAAACTTTCTAGGGACTGGCATAGTGAGTAATAAGCAAGATTCAGAGGCAGCATTCAAGATATTTCTGTACTTTCATTAAGTTTAATAGTAAAGTCTGGAATCATATCAATGTTTTGCTACTTGTTCTAATAAAAAGTCTCACTTCTAAATCATATCAATATTCATTAAATTTTTAAGATAAAATAAACATTTCGAAATAAAACCATCATGATGATCACCATTAAAATTAGATGAAATCAAAAAAAAATTTGTTCATGAATAAACATTTGTAAATTGAAATATTTTCAGCTATTAATTATTAATGCAATTAACTCAGTGTACACATTGTGCGTGTACCTACAAATAATGTTGTGTATTTAATGTTGAAAATTTTATAAAATGGCCAACACAATGCACTTTCAGCATTCAATTATTTTTTACACTTTGATAAACAAAAATTGTTGAGCAATTATTAATTTCAATTATTGATAAAAAAAATCGTTTGGATGTGATTTTGCATTTGACAGTATGTCATGTTTCCTCACCTAAAGGTATTTTGATTCTGTCCAATTAATCACAATCATATCATTGTCACAATACAGAAAAGAAAGAACAGAACAGATACAGAAGAATTCAAGAAAGAAATTGGAAACATTCTTAACTGAGGCAATGGTACTTTTTTCTGAATTAAAAGCTCAACAAGAGCACAAAATATGTTGAGGTTGGGTAATCGTAATCAAGACCCTAAACCCAGTATGGCGAGTGATTTGCAGGAGGTTGATAAGACTATGAGGGAGCTTACCACAGTCCGATACTTCATTTAATCATTAGCCTCACTTACCTCTCTTCACTTGTCACTGCATGTTTCAAGTCGGTGAAGTCGCTCCATTTCAGGATTGACCTCTTCATTGTAGGTGACGGTACCTCAACTTTGCTCCTTTCGCTCCATCGCATTGGACGTCATCTCACTTAACTTCTTCTTTCCTTCAATCAACCCAACGCATTTCGCCCGCTCTGTCAGCCTCCGCGCTGCTCGCCTCTGTCAGCTCTTATCTCCTCACTGCTGCTCACTCTCCACACACCACCCTTCGGTTGCAAGTCGTGTGCTAATGCTCTTTCGTGTGGTTTTTTTACAGCAACTGTTACTGCAGTGTTCGGGACGAATTTCACCCTTGATTTCCCCTTCGATCCACAAGAACTCATTGTTTTTGCACTGATTGGGTAAGTGAACTCGCAATTCTTTGAATTGCCTTCGGTTGTGCAGTTCAGGCTGCTCCAACTGAGCCCTGCGCAGCACTAATTAGTAACTTGGGCGTCTTAAAGTGCGTTGCGGCCGACTCGCGCAGCCTCTTCTTAAGTCTCCGCTTGCGGTTTCCTTTTCGCTTCACTTATTATTTCATTTGTTCCTATCATCAATGTACAGATATAAATTTCTGCTCTTTTTTCAACCGCTTGTTTTTATATGTATATGTGGAATAGCAATGGTGTAATTTTTTATAATAAACCAACATCATTCATATCCTTGATTTCACTACTCGATCAATGAGAAATAGCTAGCCGGTTAGAAATATATTAAAAAAATAATATCTCAATTTTGAATAAGAACATTGAAAACAATTTTCAAATTCCGTTCATGGAATTCTGAATTGGATAATTACAGAACACGGTGTACGAAACCATGGAATCCTGACCCCTTATGTTGGATAGAGTGCCGATGCTTAATACCGTACCCGAATCGCAATTATTACGCAACCAATTTGTTTTAATTTTTCCTTCATTTTGCATTACTCTTGCATTACTACATCCAGTTTTATAATTGAGATATTATTTAATTTGTTCCTAACATCAGTGTTGTTACTAATTTATTTCTCACAAGTATATTAAACTTGATGTTCCTTTGTTGTTTTAATTGCTTTATGTTAATACATATTCTTTAAATTAATATTTTATGAAAATACAGAGTTTCTGAACATGATGATATTATCATATCAGACAAATGTGAAATGGATAAAGAAAAAAAGTCTGTATAATAAAAATTACTGCATTAATTTTCTTAAATTACATTAGCAAACATCATCCCTGTAATAGAAAATTAATTACCTTCTTTTAAACTGATAATTCCAAAAAGTAAAAGTCGTGTAAATAAATGTTTGAAAAACAGAATCAAAAAGCTCTTTTAAAATTGATCCATATTTCGATTTTTTATCAAATACCCAATATGTGCGCTGTCAATGGCAACACGCATTTGAAGAGTCTTGCAAAGTGGCCAAAACCAATACAGCAGAAGAGAATGGCTTCGCAGAATGCCACCTCTGTTTCCTCGCGGTGGTGGCGAAAGATGAGAGAGTCGCCGTGAGTCATAAAATCTCTACATTTCACAAAAATATTGTTTCATGACATATGGAACCACTTGTCTCCTCGCGTTCGTTATCATCAGCTAAAGAAATCTACAATATTATTATTTTTTTTAATAGACGTGTTGTCGATATATCGGCAATAAAAAGGCCACATAATAATATTGTCCATCTTATGTGCCCCTCGCTTGCGATACTTTTGGTGAAAATCGCATCTCAATTTCTGCATCGCTTAAAAAAATGTTTCAGGAGAATATTTTAGGTGTTAGAAACTTGGAGTGTCCGGGGACGTTGCGTCTTAGACATAAATGTCAATGTTTTGGCCTTCAAACTGTGACCGTCCGGGCGAAATGGGCAGAAATGACCTGCGCTTAGTCTGAATAGAACGAGGTTCCCTTCGCCCGGCTGCTTATGGATCGGACAATCGGATAACGGTGCCCCTGAGCGGGATGGGAGAAGGGGCCCGCCCGTGAACGGACGTCAAGAAGCGAGAAGGCCCTCAGGCCAGCAAAGAAAAAAATTAGATTCGTTGTTAAGATTTTTCATAAATCTTATTAATTTCAAGTAGAAATTAGGCAAAAATAATCCTCTTAAAAATAAATTACATGACCTTTTAAAAAGAAATAGACCAGATTATATTTAAGAAAATACTTGTATCTCCAAATATTGTACTTTTGTAATGTTCCTTTTTTCTAATTTTCGACAATAGACAGGGTTGGCGAGAAAATGGGACAAGCAGCACTTTAGTTACCGACTATTGCTTTATCCAAGGGGGGAAAATTAAGAAAACAAATTGGAGCTAATTTTGAGAAAATAATTATTTAAAAATTGCCTTTGTTTCACGCAAAAACTTTGCAAAAGTTTTGCAGATGACCAAAATTCCGGGAATTCAATAAAATTGCGACTTATGCCATTTCTTTAAGCGTCTTTTTCTCTAATGGAGGGGGGAAACGAAAATATTTCCAGCCACATCTTTTAAAAATTTTGAAAATGTGAGGCTTCATATAAAATATCCCCCAAAATCAAAATGTCCTTTTCAAATGCAAGGGGCCACGACATCGGTCAGGTCGATCGGGGAAATATCCGTTTAGTGAAAATCCTACTTAAGGTTTAACTGCTAGCGTTGTTCACAGGCAGACAGACGGAGGGATGGACAGACATTTTCCGGATAATGGATTTTTCGGTATCGAAGATGCACCAATCGTGGATTCTGACTACACAACGTCTTAGAGGAAGTGATTTACTTATGTATGAATAAGATTTATTTACTTTCTTGTTACTAGGGTCCGGCACTAAGCTTTTCTGTCGACAAATCGCCGCTTTTCCCCCGCACTACAATACTTATTTTATAATACGTAAGCAGTAGGTGCACGTGCAAAGAATGGTGTTCTTTAGAATGTGCAGCGATGTCTTGCTCCTGTGACCTTCACAATGAAGTTAATGACACTACCATCATCAGTGAGTGGCGTCCTTGCGTTGGATCTCTTTGGAGCGGCTTCCTTGTGTGCCTCGTCCATGAAATCACACGCATATAGGCTCACAATCTCTCAACTGTAATCACTAACACACTTTAAGCACACTGCACACTTTAAGTGGATCCTTTTTACCTTAAACACGTGAACACCTTAAACTGTTGGATGGTTTGCTCGCGGTCCGCCTTGAAGTTTTGTTGAGAGACGTTCTTAAATATTGGAGGCCTGAACTGGCCAGACCGTCTAGGACCCATTAAACCACTATTTCCTCGGTCGCCTTGCAGCCATGAGAGCTTTGTAGCAGATATCTAAAAACTCTTCTTTTTTCTTAGAGCTATCTCTGGATTGGGTGGAGCCTTTTATGTGTGGATGCATAGACAGTATGTGCTTTTTATGAGAAGAAATAAGAAGATGACAACATTTCTTCAGAAAAAGTATGAACATATGGTAATATATTAGATTATAATTGTAAGTGAATTTTACCTATAGAATAGACCGTAACGGTACTGTCTTGTTCCAGTCGTTTCCTGTATCCGGGCATTGTTTCCCTAATAGTTGCAACAGTATCATTTCCATTATTTCTAGGCCAGTACATGGCAGGTGACCTCAATTCGCACGATCAAGTATGTATAAATTGTGTATTCGTCATTCTTTTCTTGAAGTAAATTAATATTTCTCATTTATAACTTTCTTCTATACTTTTATAGGTATCTGGTCTATTCACAAATTTTACGTGGACCAAAGAAGACTTAACAGTGGAAGAAGCCGAAATAGTCAGTCATTGGTCAACAACGCATACCGATGTCTTTGTCAGTTTAGCTGGTTTCACAATTTTCAACGTAAGTAGTGAAACATGCCGACTTACAAAGTGAAGTCGATTGTTCTTGCAGAAATGTTTGAGCTCAGAAGACAAAGCAGTCCTTCGGTGGGCGCATAGGATTGTTCTTGAGCCGTGTGTTCTCACACATGATGTGTGAAGAGAAGCGTGTTCCGTGAGTGAGTACTTGCATCGTTGCTCTCTTGTTCATGCACTGACTGCGCTATTTTTCTCCTGCTCCCGTGCTTTCGCTAAAGATCATGACGCGTGGCGTTTTAATACTGCTGCTCGGATGTAGGCGTTGGATGATGTATTTTAATCGAAAAGGTCCGTTGACACTTCTTGAGCTGTGGCACTCTCATCCAATCGAGGAGCTTGAACGTCACCGCTGTGAGGTTTAAGCTCCCGATTGGAAGACAGCGTCGTAGCTGATGAAGTGTCAACGGACCTCGAGTTTTAAACGTACTGGGACGGAAGTTGGGGCCACCAAAAGGCGCAGGGATGTAGGTGGAATGGAGTGTGAACTACGTTGTCGGCGACAGTGTGGTCGGCAGCGTCGAAAATGCACCGACGCTTGGGCTCGTAGTAATGTTTGTTAAATAATGTGAGCCGTCTTTTAAACACTCTATATCGGGGATGTGGTCGGCGAGAAACACGTAGAAATTGTTAGCATTCACTTCACAAACATTGACTTAAACTGAGCGTGAGCTGCTTTGCTCCTTACTATTCTTGCCATTCCGCCAAGTGAAGAATATTGGTATGATGATAATGAATTAATGTACCTAGTACTAAAAAAGTACGTTTAAAGTTTCTTTTTTACGATATATTTTTCACTGTGCACAAGATTTAGTCTATTGCTGGTGTAATTAAAACGAAAGTAAACAGCGCATGCTGTTTGAAATTTGGTATCCATGGCCCCTCTATTTAGGCTTGGGACACGAACGTTGCGTTAACGCGCGTTTAGAAAAGAGCATCGCAGATTAACTCGGTCTTACGCAGAACGGCTCATGAGCGCCCTTGGTGACGTGCGTTGCTGCCGTCGCCTAGCGAGCGTCGCGCGTTGAAAGCTAGAAAATGTATGTTACCTCTGCCGTACGTTGTACCTTCTGTTTTGGACCATGGTGTCTAGCGCGTTCAACGAACGTTTGATATTCGTAAACAGTTCTTAAGTGGAAGGTAATATTTTAAGTGTGTTTCCGAACATTTTGTTTTAGAATAACAGAATAAATTCAGTCTTTTTGCTGTTTACTTCAGCTGAAAACATTTTTTTTCCAAAAGCCAACGTTTCCAAGTTGTAAATACAGTTTTTATAAATTAATTTTAAAAATATATTTAAAAAATATACCCTGAGAAATATTAAAATATATCGTAGGATATATTTTTAAGTAGTAGATTTCAAAGTATGTAGTATTTTAGTGATTTTTTAAAATGTGTGTATGAAATCGAAGTAATATTGCACCGGTTGGTTAGTAGAATACGTTGTGTTATCTGTATGCATTAGATCTTATGCAGGTAATCCGATAAACCACCGAAACGTTGCTTTTTTAAAAACCTTGAGTTATAATTAATTATATTCTAATTATACAATCTTTCATTTTTTATAATTATTGATTTACATTTAATTACTTCATGTATAGCAATTGACATGGGTACAAAACTTAACGTATAAGAAGTGTAGAGGAGAGCTGTTCTTTGAAACGGCAATTAATGTGTACAAAGATAAAATTAAATTTGAAAAAAGTTCGTAGGCGTTTCAATGTCGATTTTGATAAGAGGCTAACCTCGAATTACGTTTGTTTAGAGCAAGTCTTTAGAATTACTTCAGACATCCGAAAATAAGAAAGAAATTCTCTCTTCTCGGAGGTTATTAATTTGCGCCATGAAGGAGCCTCTTAGTAGGATGCTACAAATGTCTCCTCGACTCTTTCTTTATAATATTCATCGCCACATAACCTATAAGAGCTGTTTCGACGATGTCCATATTGAGTACAGAGTTGCGCCCGAGGCGGACGGTAAACAACGCTCATGCAGGCACCTACGCGTGTCGACGCAGCAGTCGCCATCATCGTTTGGGAGCGTGCGTTAACGCATGGCTCGTGTGTCTCTAGCGTTACATCTGTTTGATTTAATTCACACTCTTACATATTCCCATCCGCTTCTAGGCATGATTTGTATCAATTCTTACAATATTTTTAGTAAGGATATTGAAACAATGTAAATTACTATCCCTATCCTCCAACTTCACGGAGTGAACCTACATTTTGAGGCATTAATGGCTGGCGCACCAGTCAATGCACGGATAGTAGAAGAATACATTTCTCAGAGCGATGTTGTCTTCCACATTCTCGACTGATTTGGAACCCACAAAAAATTCTCCACTGGCCTGAAACGACTACAGAGCAAGCGCTGACAGGCGTGGAGGCGAGCTGCCAGTGTGGGCGCCAACAAAGACATTGACAGAATTGGCGCAGTCTTTTGCGCCAAGGAAGTCGGAGATCGACGGAGTTCGTGTCGACGGACAGGCTTCGGAGTGTTAGTACCGTGTTGTGTTTACGTTGCCGTTTGTAGCAAGATAATGGTATTTTAAAGCTTGTCCTGTAAACACCGAATAAAATAAAGCTATTAAGTTACAAGATATCGTGTCTAATTTTACTGTCACCTGTTCATCCTTGTACGATTTTATGTTTCTTACTTTAAATTGCATCCAAATTGTTTTTTAACTCGTGGCTTCGAAAGGATAAATTGATAATTATTAATAAATGTATTCTCTTTAAATATCCACCAATGTAGGCCCAAAACTGGTCACTTTTAATGCTACTAAGAGTGATAACTGATACCACAGAAAATAACATTTGCAAGAATGAATACAAACTTTATCCTTAGTGACCTGCAAGTTCACATTCTGATGTGGCAAATTCAATCCATAATAGTTTCACAATTTAAATTAAGAGTAATCTGCGTTGATGACATTACCGAGCAAATGTCGATGTGTGACAGAGGCAAAATTATTGCAAGATAAGCGTGTTTGAACACAACCCTTGTTAACCTTAGCTACCCTTAGAGCTTGTCTCGGCTGGGACAGTGCCCCGCTGGTGGGAGATATCTGGTTGAGGGAAACCCTGCTAGCCGTCAGGTAGGTTCGCTCCGGATTTCAGTTTCTCCCAGCTCCTTCCGCGCTACACGTACTGGGCTAATGACCTTAGCAGTTGACTCGCCCGGAATCACTAATCAATCGATCAATTATCTTCGTCACCGTTTTATCAACTTAGCGATCGGGAGAGAAGGCTCAGTGGATCAACTGATATAATTCTCTAATCGGGAGGTCGTAGGTTCGAGTCCCGACGACGAATTTTCGACACTAGTTTATCAACTAGGTCGAATTCAGTCGCTGCCTGGAAAAGAAATCTAGCTGCGGGCTGCTCTGACCGGTATTTTTCCGTGGCTTCTCCGGTCAACACCCGGCGAATGTCGGAGCAACGGGCCACGTACTTCGAGCGATCTTTCCTTCCTCTTCCTCACTCCTTGCCTACACACACACACACACTAACATGCACTACACTACCACACATGCCGAGAGCGTAGTGCTTGTCCCAGCTGGGGGTGGGGGTGGGATATATCTGGTATATCCCGCTGACCTCCCTGATTGCAACCGGGAGAGGTGCCCCTGGGCATCAACTGAACTGAACTGCAGTGCCTCTGACCGGGAGGTCCTAGGTTCGAGACCGAACGGTGGCAGAATTTTCGACACTAGCTTGATAACTAGCCAACGATACGTCGGCGCCGGATCTCGCCATCCAGCGGGGAAAGATCACTGCCACCTTCCGATGAAAAACATGCACTACACTTACGTGACTAAAGACCTTGGCAGTTGATGCGTCCGGAATCTCAATCAATCTAGGCGAAGCGTCAGGGTAGGTGGAGTAATTTCAGGCATGCCAAGGAGTTGCGAAGGTAAGAAATCTCTTCACCTAAAACAGGAAATAAATAGAAAATGTAATGGTAATTATTTGTCTTGATCACACTTTAGGTAAACGCCCTAAGATTCTTGTATAATGGAGCGTAAAACGTTTTTGCGGGGACCAGCAGTGTGTAAAAATAGATTTTGCATGTTTTGTTTTAAATGGAAGTACTTCAGACCTGTGGTGGCTGCGTGTGCGTTGATTTCCGTAAAGCACATTCTTGTAATACGCATTGCGAATTGACCAGTCCACCAACCAATGATCTGTTCATATAATTTATTATAATATTAAATAAATATAATTATTTATTCAGGGAATTGTAAATAAAGATGAGCACCACCAATTTTATGTCACATCATAGCGCCACACACTGCCGCCACAGTTACAATTTTCATTTATCGTGATGACGTGATTGATTTAGTGTGCGACCTAAGTTATGTGATTACATTCGCTCTGGTGGAATATCATCAAAGTTGGAGTTGACTCGTGCTCTGAGGCCCAAACGTGGATTGATAGCGTGTACACTAATGTGCGTTCTCGCAGTGCAAAGCCCACAATTCTTCTTCTCTACCGTTGATGTTAAGCGCGACGGCTGATGAGCTCAATGGCAGGGGAGCAGGGAGCGCGCACACTTGGCGCAGGCCGGCCTGCTTCGCTGATTGGCTGCTTGGGCTTGCACCGCTGCACTAGGATGTCCCCAAGGTCCCTTCTGCCCTGCGTACTTATATATTCGCTTCCGGAAATATCCACCGCAGTTCACTCAACAACTTCAGATGTCGCTAAAACTACAATTTTAATATCAATTCAATGTATTATGATATACATTTGCCGATTTTTCGATGTTTTTCAAAAATCAGAAGTATTAATAAGTGCGTAATTCAAGTAAAAACTCGCATCCTAATTCGTGAATTGCATAATCGGTTATTCATTATTATCATTATATACTGTATGTGTATTAATGTTAGTCATAGCAATTGGTGGTCATAGGTATGTTAAATGGGAAGTCTTTCAGTTTCAATATCTTTATAATACTCGACATTTTAAAAATGAAGTGTGTGTTTGTGTATTAACTAATCGAACACGGCTCAGCATCTCCAAAAATGACCATGATGCTTGGTCACTCGAGGGGTTCTGAGCAGTGGCCGTTTCGAGAAGCGCGAAGGCTGAGGAGGTGCTCTTGTGCGCAGTTCGTGTTCTCCATCATCGGCTCAACCATCCCTGTGCCGTCCGGCAGCTTCATCCCGGTGTTCAAGGTGGGCGCGGCGCTGGGCCGCATCATGGGGGAGCTGATGCACGTGTGGTTCCCACGAGGCGTGCGCTATGGCGGCACGGTCACCCCCATTATCCCAGGTACCGTCCCAGTCCCATAGGCCGGATCACCTATGGAAAAGCATTCACACTGGCAGAGATCACAAAAATTTGTTGAAGGGTTGAAATATTTGCAATATCTTCCGCGCACATCGGCGAAGGTGCTCCAGAGCATCAACTGTCACTCCACTGCCCCTAATTGGGAGGTCTTAGGGTTCTACTCCCCACGGTGGCCGGAGTTTCATCACTAGCTAAATGGCTAAGTCGAATTCAGCCGCGGTTTAGTTCAGCTGCTGTTGGTTTTCCGTAGTTTCTGCGATCAACACCAGGTGAATAACGGAGCAGTACGGGCCACGGACCGCGCGCGATCTTTTCTTCCTCTTTTGTCCTATCCTCACCCCTTACTTACACGCACTTACACTCACATGCACTACACTACCACACATGTCAAGAGACCAATGAGAGGCTTAGAGCTTGTCTCGGTTGGGACGGTGCCACGCATGTGGGAGATGCGTGGTTGGGGAAAATTGCTCAAGCCGACGTAGGTCGGCGCCGGATCTCACCATCCAGCGGGGGAAGATCATCGCCACCCTCCGAGGAAAAAGCATGCACTACACTTGCGGCAGTAATGATCATATATGTTGACGCTCCTTGAATCACTAATCAATCTATCTTCCGTGCCCTTTCTAACGTGCGCGCTTCCTCAATCTGTGTGTACAGTTTAAGCATTGGTTTCGATCCCCAACGGACAGACGTTTTGAAATACTGTTTCTATGCCAGGAATCCCCAATGACGTTGATTTTTACATTTTGTCGTCGATCGCTAATTAATTCTAAATTTGCAAGTTCCGAATATTCAGCTAGTTGGACGAAAATGAGACTCGTACTGCTCTTTAAAACGTCATTTCTACTACCCGTGGAAAACGTTTGAAGAAAAAAATTGGAGCGGCTTTTAAGAAATGTTTTTAGAAACTTCACAAATTTTCGAAACAAATTATGTGTACTCGTTTTTAATAAGAAATAGTATCTGCCCTTTTTTAAAGAGCTGATTCGTTTTTTACAACAGACTGTCTAAGGCAAAAGTCTGTATCTTCAATTTTGTAATTTTGAAATGTTAACTTTATGCTATTTTCGAAAATATGGAGTGTTCGCCGAAAATGGGACATATGAGGAGATTGGGCCTTGATTCATATGAGGAGAAAATTTAAAGAAAAAATTGGAACGGTTTTTGAGAAAAAAATCCTATATTTCTGGCAACATTACACAAAAATTGCTGATATATTCAAAAACTTGAATATGACCTTCCTTCAAAATCTATTTTTAAAGAACAGATTTCATTAAAGAAAAAACTCGATCTTCAATATTATAGTTACAAGAAGACGCCCCAAAACAATTGCACTTTTGCAATGTTCGAAAAATCTGGGAATTCAGCGTGAGACCTGCACTAGTCTCTTAAGAGTCCTTTACGCTTTGTGAGGGCAAAGTTTAATTTAAAAAGTGGATCCATTTTTTTTTAAAAATTGAAATTGTTTTCGAGGCTCCTTGTAAAGAAGCCTCAAAAATCAAAATATCCTGTTGATATTCCTCTAGTCTCGAGTTCGTTCAGTTCGATCCGGGAATATCAGTTTTCGAGAAAATCGGCCGAACGGTTTAGGCACCAGAGTTGACCACAAATTGACGGACGGACAGTCAAATGATTTTTGCAGTCTGTCGATTTTTCGGTATCAAGGAACCACAAAACATGGATTCTGGCCACACCAGGGGAGGAATTTACTATATATAGGAACAAGATTTAACCACTTTTTCATTTCCAGGGCCATTTCCCGTCGCACGATACATAACTTCCTCTTCTTACGAAGTAAGTGTGAGAAAGTAAAAAAAAACAACAACGAAAATTGTTCTTTTTTCTTGAGTATAGCAAAGTTCACGTAATAAAATTGCCTAGTTCCGTTTTTCTTACATTGTCAAAAATTGCATAAATTGCTCACATTTACATTTTTCGACACCTTCCTACAAATATATTTTAAATATTTTTCTCAATTAAATCTTGTCTTCAAAATTAGATCTTTAAATGTTTTTGTGAACATATTTTTTAAAATTTAACTAGTTCTGTAGTTTTTTTAGTTTAATCGTATAAAAGATTGTATAAAATTCTTAAGCAACATTTTCTGAAAATGGATTCACTTGCTGTCATTATTTTTAGATCGAATAGTACAGTTATAATGGCGTATATCCGATCTTCATTAAATCCTCTAAAATGTCTTTTACTTCAATTGCGAACTTGCCGTACACCTTGAATATTGAAGATTTATTGATTTTATTCTCCATGTAATCTATTCCTAAATGTTAGAAATTCAAATCACTAATGAATACTTTTATCGAAAAAATATTTTCCGAGAAATTTTTAGGTAAATCATGAGAATTATAGGTCCCACAATCACTGCTGGTCACAATCATTTTTTGTAGATCTGCATCAAGACTAGACGAGTGGTCAGGGCTCCAGACTCAAAGCCTGAGTCTAAGTGTGGAGGTTCACATTCTTGTGGAGGCACATGTTTCTTTCTTTTTTCCATTTTTTTTATGTGAGGATAGAGTACAATAACATATTTTAATGGAAAACTGGCATTTTAATTATAAAAGATTTGCAATTCATTTATAAAATTTCCAAACAATTATATTTTTTATTTCGCACGCTCATTTGCTGAAGAGTTTTTCAAGTGATGGCTGTAGTGTTAGTATGTATGTTGCAATATTACAATATTATGTAACCATTGCCAATAACACGAGAAAGTATGTTCTGTTGGAGCACCTCTAGTTTATTTTAAAATGGTTTCTGGTTGGACGGGGGGGGGAGTGTCTTGTCCACCCCGGTCCACTTCTCGATAGTCCCCTTGTATAAGCCGACGACTGCTGGGTAGGATGTAAGGAGCGATGCCGCTTGAGGAGGCTATGGAGAGAGGGCACACTGCGATAATAGTAGATGGTATAAGCAACTAATAATAATGTCTAGGAACAAATGTTGCAATCTTTTTGTGCATCAAGGAGTTACGAAAATGAACACTTTTTGCCAATGAACAATCAAATAGTAGGAAGTTTCATATTACGGAGTTACACATTTCGGCCTTTGCCCCGATTGTTATGCAACCCTGCACTCACCTATGTCGACAGATATACGAAACGTGCTGTATTTAATCATAACGTGACCTGCCGAACACGAGTGCATAAAATACTTTCCTGACAGCATAGGGACTAAGTCGTAAGCAAAACTACATTATTTGAAATTTCCCACACGTTCAATGTCAAATAAAGGATTTTAATGTTAATGATGATAATATGATGGATTAGAGAAAAATTGAATAATAATGGCGTGTATAATTAGAGCAATTTCCACATCAAAAATGTGTCATTTTTGATCACTCCTTAATGCCTTAGAATTTGAAGTTATTTTGAGACGCTGTACTTATAAACGCAACGACGAATTTCACATTTTGCGAGCTGAGTGTTGTGCAGAGTTTCCTTCTAAGTTGTTTTACGTTAATGGAAGTTCCGAATAATAACTGCAGTGTGCATAGCACTGTTATCTAATCCCTAGAGTAACACATCCAGTTTATTTGCACTTCCTATTTCCTTTGCTCTAATTTAGCGCGATAGTATCACACGTTGTGGTTAGAATTTGGGGCAACTTCCATTAATTTCACTGCTTTACATGCATGTCTGCCGAGCGGCGACAGGACTGACCTGACCTGACCTGACCTGACCTGACCTGACCTGACCTGACTTTCACTGACCAAACTGACTCGCTTTCGCGGTAAGCCTTCTCGAGACGACCTGTTACCACTACCTGCCATCGTCATGTGATATGTACTGCGCAGCATCTATTCCTTCAACGGAAGTGTGGATCACGTCGGGCCTTTAACTTCCTTCTTCCAAATTAACATTGTGGTCACTCCACACACCGTTCAAAAAGGTTAAACATTTGTATAAGTTTCGAATTTAAAGGATCCCATAGATATTCTGGCTATATTAATATAACTAAATTCGGAGCTAGTGAAAATAATATTGTTTAGATGCTTTTAAAAAAGATCTTAAATGAATCTTATAATTTGCATATATCACCTTATTTGTATTTATTTATCGTATAGCAACACATCTCAAAAATATATAAACATGTATATAAACATACAAAAAAGAATGTATACAAAATCGAACACAATAGAACAGTCATTATCGTACATCTAAGTAATTATTATATTACTCTCGACCGTAGTCAGAAAATCTGTCGGCTCTCCAGCATAGGATCTCAGTGGACACTTCCACAATATGTCTAACGGCTGTCTATCAGTATTCCAGTCGCTCTGTGAATGCTTTTGTTTCTTTTTCATTTGTAGAGGCAATGCTTGCAAAACCCACGATTCTCCGGATTCTGTATAATGAGTACAAAGTTTTTCGTGGCAATTTAAAACCCGGTGGCTTCTTTGTTATGCATGGTATGTTTAGGCTTTCAGCTGGTGCGTTTTTCTCCCATCTCACTCTCACTCTCCAGGCCTCGGTGATATTGAAATTTTACCCGTGAAGTGAACTAGCTTCCCTGAGGGGTGGGTGTCTAGATTGAAGTCTGTTTATATGTAGATGTTCAGAGTTGTCCTATTTGTTGTAAACCTATATTAATTAATCTTTGATTCTGACAAGTGAAAGCCAGCAAACCGATTATAATTAGCAGTGCAGTGAATTTTCTTGTTTTTCTTTAATTACATACCGAAAAATTTATTATAATTTCATTATACTTTACTCTATTAGCATTGCAGTCATAGTGACTGTAGCAAGCCTTTTGTCATGAGTTCATATATGTTTTTCCATTTGGGGAAAATAGGTATTCTTTAGTGCTAGCAGCGTGTGTGCCAAGAAGGCAGAAGAAATACATGTATTCATTATTTTCACTGAAGTAAGATAAAGTTGGTCTCTTTATCTCTTCTTTTATCAGGCTTCAATCAAAAGCAATACAAATTTAAAAATCTCCACTTTATATTTTGAGTTAAATTACAGAATATATTTATCATTAAAACAAAAGCAAATAAAGCTTATTAACCAGAAGCTGTATTTACGTGGTTGATTTTATGTACATACTCTTAATGGCAAATTTATGTCATTTTTTGCAGGTGGGTATGCTACAGTAGGGGCTGCTGCATTCTCAGGAGCTGTTACGCACACTATCTCAGTGTCTGTCATTGTTTTTGAGATGACTGGTCAAATTACCCACATCATTCCGATCATGGTTAGTAGCCATTGTTTGTAGTATTTTAAATATAGTATTAATTGACATTAGTTACGAATGTAGCATATCTTAATAAGTTTATATTTGGTTGTACAAAATGTACCACCCTCTCGAGGCACACTTGCCAAATAGTACCATGTCAAATCTTCAAAATAATCATTGGTGTAAACATACATTCATATGATTATTCTAAACATGCTGAGAGAGAATTTTTGATACATATGAAGTTAAAGAGGTTCAAGGCTTTAGACTTTTAAGTCTTCCAGATTTTATAAAGATTGTTTTATAGGTTACATTATCTTCCTGGATGCAAATACATGCTTTCCTGTGAACACGCCTTTTATTTTATTTTACCAATAGACGAACAGAGCTCGTGGCTAGTTCTTTTTGTCAGCGTGCTCGCTTTCTACTTCGCGACCCCGGATTCGATTGCCGGTCGAGCCAAGACTTTAATGTGCGTTTTCCTTGCATGCAATGTATTCCTTCCGTGCAATGTATTGTTGCAATGTCCCAGTATACGTTGCACACATACACACATGCAGACATACACACACTCATGCACACACGTACGTACATACAATAGACGAACTATTCAATACTGAAAATAACAAACACAAGATAATGGAAATTTACACATATAGAACCTATAAAATACACCTTAGAAAAAACAGGAAACACAATTAAAATTGTGAGTCCATAATCATTACGCACATTATAAGTGAAACTTCAAAGATACAGGAATAAGACATTTGCAGGGTAATGTATTGTTTGCACGATTCCTTTCAGGAAACTCCCTTGAGCACTCAGTTAATATTTTTAACATTATTATTATTATTATTATTATTATTATTATTATTATTATTATTATTATTATATCATTATTATTTATATTTGGGGGCCCCACCGCGACTCAGACTTGATTATCGTTGTAGGTACACATTACTTTTCTATGGGGGAATCACCATTTTAATACTGATTCAATTTTTGTACTCCAGCGTTAGAATAGTTGCAGTTAATAGGATGAAATGATGATGATAATAATGGTGTATGATGAAATAGACACACATGAACATACAGAGACACACAACACAACCATGCTTGAGGCAGGACTCGAACCCGCGCCCCTTTAGTCCAAGATCATGACTACATTACTGCCTTAGCAATATTGGCCATCGGATCGTCTATTATTATTATTATTATTATTATTATTATTATTATTATTATTATTATTATTATTATTATATTTGTGGCCAAGGAAAATGCCTTAGGCACAGTCGGGGATAAAGATGAACTACCTAGTATGTGGGACACTTCCCCACTTAAAAATCTCTTTTTTTTGACCTTGCCTCTCGCCACGAAAACTGTCGCCAGACATTTGTTCTTGGAGAGACCGATGGGTAGCTGGACTATAACCTCAAATTCTATTGGAAGCCTTTCTTATTTTCTTTTCGTGATGAAAGGGTTGAACTCTTGTATTATACTCCACTCTTTACTTGATTTCAATTCGACTGCTCTTTTAAATCTAAACTGATAGGATTTAAAGCAGTTGTGTCCAAAGAGCACTTGGGAAATGTAGTAATTTACCTCCCCAAGAATCTTCTGCTGAACTACGGTTCAATAGTGGTATTATCACGTAAGTCTGCGTTCCTTCAGTGTCGTCCCTTGTCAATCTACTAAGAGAGACGTCTACTAAGAGACTACTTCACTTGTCATTCTACTGAGAGAGACGTCCGTGCCCTCTTCTTGATGTCCTCATTCGACCTGCACAGAGGTCAGCCACAACCGGGGTCAGCTTCTGTTTTCTCGCCAACAGGTCTACAGAAGGTACACCAACCAGTACCCCTATTACGCTCTGAGAGACCGTGCGGTAGACTGGCACTATTCTCAGCGTCAATCTCCTTTGTACTTGCATGTACTTGCATCTCCGCAATCTTTATTGAGAGTGTCAGCCTACACTGGGGCCACATACAGCAGTTGGTAATGAACTGTGCTAGAGATCATTCTACGCTTCGCCTCGTTTGGACCCCCCCCCCCCCCATATTTGGCATTAATCTGGAAGGTTGGAGCATGTCTTTGCTGCCTTGCCCTCAGTCTTGCCTTGTTTATTTACGGACCAAATCTTAGTCTATGGTCGATCTCGACTCCCAAATAACTTTTTGGGTGTCTGCAGTTAGTGTTCACGTCCCACAGTCGAATATTAGGGGAACGGAATACTATCCGGCCCGTAATTAAAACTGCTTCAGATTTTCTCCACAGTCATATGTAGGAGTCTACTCTCTTGCGTCCTTTTCATCATAAAAAGGGTTTCATTCACTTTGACCTCCAGCAAGTCGATTTCGTTTGCTATGGTCGATAATGAGGGTATCATCTACATAACATATACGCTGGGTGTCTGATGGGCTGTTAATTTGTAATAGACTGTCGTACATGACATTCCATAATAGAAGACCCAGCCAAGAGCCTTGAAGCACACCACAAGTTATATAGTCTTCGATTGAGGAGTCTGAGTAAGGTAATCTTCAAGAGGTATTCCGGGATATTTTTGTCTACCAGTGCTTCAATGATGACCCTCCATCTGGGAGAGTTGAAGGCGTTTCTTATATCGATAACTACTAACACACAGAGTTCTTTCTTATTCCCATCACCGCTCTTGGCTGTCTCTCCTACGCTGATTACCAGGACGGCGTCCGTTGTCGAATGTCCTTTCGGGAAGCCGTATTATCTGCGAGATAAATTTGCTCCTACATGTTCCTCGAGTTCCTCGAGTCTTGATAGAATTAGATCCTCGAGTAGCTTGCTCATAGTGTCCAAAAGGCAAAGCGATCTGCAAGACGAAGTCTGATTTACGGGCTTATTGCCCTTCCAGAGAAGAATGTGTTTCTGTTTCTCCCACCAAGAGGGGAATGTTCCATTCCTAAGGCAGTAGTTGAACACAGATAACTATTCCGAGTACTGCTCTGTCACGATTTCAGCATATCGTTAGGGATTACGGCAAAGCCCGGCGATTTCCCACATTTCATGGTCGTCACGGCACTCCGCAAAAGCCGCTCGGTCTTGGTGTCTTCCGGCAATCTCTAACAGGGAAGAGATCGCCTATTAGGCTAGTCGCAAAATGTGACGCGACGCGACGCGACGCAGGGTGACTCACGGTCAGTGTCTGCGAACCGCTATGCGTTTCGGACCCGCGCGCGTCAGAGCGCAGGGTGTCGTGTCGCCGTTTCTGCGCTTGGTGCCCCTTCGGAGCGCAGTATCTTGCACGCAATTTCCTGCAATGGCTCGCCGTGGAAGAAAATCTGATCGAAGCCGTGCGTGGTCGTAAAGTTCTTTTTGACACAAACCATGATAAAGTGTTTAATAAAGATAATGGGGTGTTTTACGAACCGTGGTAACTATAATTCATCTGTTTCAAGAACCTTGACGTAAGGCACTAATATAAATTGCCAAGTTTCCCTTATTGTTTCGAAAATTCTGATGAAAACGCATAAATATGCAGTAACATTCAGATATGCGAAAATATGCAAATGCTTTGGCAGGAAAGCTCTAAATGGGCTGATTCGTAAAAAAATGTTAAATTTCTTAGAAACCATTAGCAAACATGTAGTAAGCATTTGCATACAAATCCGGGCTCTGTTGGGAACTAAAATACTAGAAAGTAAATAATTTCTTTAAAAACACTGCTAGGTTTTCCTCGGTTGTAATAAGCATTGGGGCATTGTAGCCCTCTCTTCAAATTTCATTTTTGATCAGATTGGTAATTTATTTGAACTGATCACTAGTGAATGGAAAAACATATAGTACATTATTAGGTATATTAGCCTGCTTTCCAGTCAATACCAAAATAGTTTCAGAAAAATGTTTTTAAATGAAACTTAAGAATTACCATTTTACGTTGAAAAACCAAAATATTACTGTGAATGGAAAGTAGAAAACAAACGTTATATTGAGTTTGACTTGAAGGAACAGAATGAAATAAAGGAGAAAAAACATTTCTTCCAACTCCTACTGAAAGTGGTTGCTGGTTGCCTACCATATAAATTTCACAGCCATAGTTTCTCAACTCCAGTTGATTTTTGATTTCCATTAAAATATTGTTTTCATGATACTTGTGATGCAAGACTCTAAATTCAAATATATGGAAAACATTATCTTTATAGTAAAACTTCAATTAATAAAAGTAAGTATACTACTTTTTAATGATTATAATTATTGTTGAAGAAAAACACAATTAACTAAAATTAGAATTGGACAACCAAACCTTTGTGCTGTTTCACAAAGAATACTTCGGGTCCTTTACAACAAATAATTTAAAAAGGGAATAATTAAAAACTTAATACATAGCTACATTGCATTTCCATTGTGTAAATAGGACAGATAGCAATAGTGAAGTTCATTAACCTGTTATTTTTGTTTTAGATTGCTGTGTTAATATCAAATGCTATTGCATCGTTCCTCCAGCCATCTTTATATGACAGTATTATTCTCATTAAGAAATTGCCGTATCTTCCTGATCTGCTACCATCAAGCTCAGGTGAGAGTAAACATACTGAATATAAGGCCAGTTTTTTCAAAATAAGTTTTACATTTACACCTTCCTCTCTAGATTTTAACAGTACTATTACAAATTATGTTTAAAGAACTGACTGTTTCAGCCAGGAATCGAACCCAGATCTCCTGATATACTCCCAGTTGCTCTAACCACTTGATTTACTGAGACAAGCATCTCTTCAAACAGCTATTAGTAGTTAAGAACTCTTGTGATAGTTACATTTAACATTTCACCACATGGTCACAGGTTTTTTTATTTGAAGCATTACTACTGCAATTGCAAAACTAGAAACATATTCTCATTTAATTATCAAAACCTTAACACTGTGAACACAAAGTGAACTGTTGAATGTATCATTCAATAATATTTAACATTCAGTGAGAGTTTTTTTACTTTAACTGATCTGGAATTGGTTCACAATTGTACGGCAAATGGTACATTTATCTACATTCTATTAGAATAATTATTTTAAAAATCAGCTGTTACAGTTTCAAATGAGTCTACCCAAAGGAGAATATTGTAATTTCTACTACTCTATTTTATGAATGCAGTCAAAAGGTTATCATTATTTATGAGGAATAATATTGTCTCTTATTATTCTAAACTGTTCAGTATTAGCTCATAAGCAGACATGAATCAGGATAAGCGTGCGCCCTCTTTTACCTGGACATGTCTACTTTTTGTATTAAAATTAGACATCATGCAAATTTTCTTAAAAAGTAAAAAGTCATGGACATTGTTTTATAAAATCATGAAATTGATAATCTTAAATGAACTTGTTTTGATTGTATTCATTAGCATCTGTTTTCTGTAAAATTTTTAGGTGGACTATTTATATCAAACGTGGATGACACCAAATAGATTTTGTTTTGATGGAAAAGTACAGAAATTACTTTATAATTTGTAGTTGACAATTTTACATCACTGGAGTTATATGGATTTGAGTCTTTGGTCTTGCATACTCATAATCTAGTATTTAGCTAGTTGTTATATTATGTCGTATCGTTAAGTCATATTTGTGTTGTGAAAGGAAAACTTTAGGTTGTCCTGTGCGTTAAATATGTATGTGATTGTTTCTACAAATAGAAAAATGTTCCAAAGAGTGGTTTATTTGTTAAGTTTATTATTAAAATTCTCTTGGTTTCTTGTCATGTTTTTACTGTGAGGAAATCCAATCCAATACAATTATGGAAGTGTTTTCTGTATTCGTTCAGGATCTAAATATTTTAAATCAGTATTTTTTGAATATGTAGTGTAAATTATGTCAACTATACAAAATGATTTTCTCTCTAATTTTCTTTTTATTTTATAGGCATGTATAGTGTTTATGTGGAAGATTTTATGGTAAGAGATGTCAAATACATTTGGCATGGCATGAATTACAAGGAACTTAAGGAAGTCCTGAAGCAGAATCGAAACCTCAAAGGATTTCCGTTGGTAGATAGTCCAGGTAAGTATTTGCTGGCAAACAAGTAGCATTTAAAATGTTTGAAATTTCGTATGGTAATTAATTTTTCAATGGCATTTTCAATATGGCAATTAATATGCTTATATTTAAATTCAAGAAAAATGAGTGGTACCTATTTGAAGCTTATGGTGCTAAAACAGTAGATGCTTTCTCACATTATATGGAACAGCTAAACAAAATTATACTACTATATGAACCTGCAAAAGTGTTTTCCAACCTGCAAAGATTTTTTTCTCCTTGCTCAGATTCAAACTCTCATCCATCGAGGTAACTCGACAAGCACATTACCACTACACCATGCACTCACTCTCCCATACACACTTTTGCCAATGCTTAAAAAAGAAATGGTTTCTGCCATTATTTCTAACTTGCGCAATGGTAGAAAATTCAGGGTTTATAAAAAATTACACCTGCGCCATTTTTTAAGTATCTGTTACTTCATTCATGGCAAAATATTAAAGTAAGAATATGGAACCTTTTTAAGAATGTTGCTTGTTTAAAATAAGACAAAAATATTGTCTTCAATTTTGTAGTTTTGGAATGTTACCTTTTTTCAATTTTTGAAAATATGGCATTCGTCGGCAATAGGACAAGCTCCAAATATTTTAGTTTTTAGAGGCATAGGAGGAGAAAATTTAAAGAAAAATTGGAGCAGTTTTGAGAAAAAAAAAATTATTGTCTTAATTACACATACAATTACGCGAAAACCACCCATGTTTTCGAAAAATTATACTACAGACATGTATATCAATGCCTGTCTTCAAACAACACGTTTCGTTAAGAAAAAATCTATCTTCAATTTGTGCTTTGTAGGAAGACGACGAAAAAATAAAAGGTTTGAGCCAAAGGAATGAATTACTTCACATTGTGGGTCAGTTCATATCATGGACACAGGTTTTGTGGGCAAAATCGATTGAGGGCAAAATCGATTGAGGGCAAAACGTCTTTCCGGCCGTCTTTCCGGCCGTCTTTCCGGCCGTCTTTCCGGCCGTCTTTCCGGCCGTCTTTCCGGCCGCCTTTCCGGCCGCCTTTCCGGCCGCCTTTCCGGCCGCCTTTCCGGCCGTCTTTCCGGCCGCCTTTCCGGCCGCCTTTCCGTTGATAGTAATAAAGGCGCTTGTCTCCTTTCCGGCGAACTCTGTATTTTTAAAAATTACAAAAAGTTAACATTTCAATACTATAAAGTTGAAAATATTGCCTTCGAAAAAATGTTCTAAAAAGTCACTTTCAGGTCTTGAAGAAGGCATGTATATTTATTGGAAGAAATAGAAGTTTTCACGTAATTTCTGTTTAAAATTCAAGTAATTTATAAAAAAACAATTTTTTTAAAAACAGCATTTTCCTCCTAAGAAAACTCAAAACATTAAGAAAAAATAATTGTTTGTAATTTGCAAAATTTCACTTAACTAGTCATGCTTTCATTAAAGAAATATCTGTTCAATATTTCCGTTGTAGGAAGACGCCATTCTTTTAAGCATCTTTTATTCTATCCGAGAACAAAAATTAATCAATTTCGTGGCATTTTTTGCGTCATTGGTTAGTAATTACGGATGCGTCAATTGCTAAGGGCATTAACCCTGCAAATGTAGTGCATGTTTTATCGGAGGTGGCGGCGATTTTCCTCCACTGGATGACGAGATCCGGCTAGCGGGGTTTTTGCCTTACCAGTTATCTCCCACCAGCGGGGCATCACCCCAGCCGTTACAAAAGCTAACCTTCAGACCGGTCTCCCGGCAATTGTAGCAGTTTAGTGCTTGTAAGTGTGTGAGGATAGGACAAGGAGTAGGAAGAAACTCCGGCATTCGCCTGTTATTGAAAGCAAGGAGGGTGCAGAGGCAATAAGAATCGAGTTTGGGCGGGCGCTAGTCGCGACGAAGTATGGAGACGAATGCCTAATTCGTCACAGTGTACATCCCATACTCAATCTCCAATATCTCCTATATCTCCTCTACATCACATCATCAAACTCCACTTGTAACAACAAACTAAAGTTTTTGTGAATAAAATGAAATTTCTGCATCTCAGAATTTTAATGTGTTCTGTGAGTATCGAAGAACTTTCACAAAAGTGTAAAATTATTATTTGCAGAATCGATGATTCTCTTGGGATCCATTCAACGTTTGGAACTGATAAAACTTATTGAACGCCACATCGGCAGAGAAAGGCGAATGCAGGTCGCCGCTAAGTGGCAGAAAGAAGCTCAAGAAAGGTAAGACATATGAAGAATCCATGCGCCTTCGAACCAGTATTTGCACTTGGCGCTTGCTTCTTCATGGCATCATCAGCGGTGCAGCGTGGCCAAATCAAATATGTAGATGCCAACGCTAAATCAAAAATTTTCTGAAATGATGATCCCTTGATCATTTTGGTGTTTCCGTAACGCTCTAATACTACAAAAGGTCTTTGCGTTATTTGTTGTTGAAGTCTAACACTGAAGCGCAGTAACGACTCGGAACGTGCTGAACACCCCCCCCCCCAAGCAAGTAACACGTGTACCCTGCCGATTGGTGTCTCACATTGCGAGGAGACCCCTCACGTGGGATTTCTGCTGCAATGCACGTCCACAATGTCCAAACACAAAAAAAAGCATGGGAAGACTGTTCGGAACCTTAGGATCTTCGCTTGGGTTTTTCCTAGAGCTCTGTATTCGGAGGAAAACAACCCCTTGAATATCCCTGATATTTTGACCACAGTGGAAGCTCGTGGTTAGGTTGCATGGTTGCACAACCCCTAGATAATCGAAAAAATATCTTATAATATCTTGGAAATATAAAGTTTCCTTTTAATGACATTCAATTTCAAGACATTGCACCAATATCGATGTAGATGAAATCATTTTTAGACCAAAGAGCTTCTAACTGGCGCACTCTAAGGCGTCTGGTTACTCCCAGGTGTTGTACCACGCCCATGGCTCTATTACTGGGTATACTGCATTTCCTCTTTGGCCCTTCGCTTTAACACGGGGAACATGCTGCCTTTTGTGACGCAATCAAATGGGTGGGGGCCAAGCGCTTTGTAGTGCTGCGCGGCGACCGAGGGAATCTGAGGGGAATACCAATCGTATATCTCATCTGTCTTTGTCTGACTAGCGGCAGCTTCATTTTATGAATTTCGCGTGTTATTGAAATTATTAATGTTCAGTCAGTTATTGACGGAATTGAATGAATTATTTATGATGTTTGGAGATTTTTTTAAAATTTGGTATTAGATTTATTGATTCAAAATGTACACTTGAGGAATTCTTTGTGTAATTTGGACGTTCTGAAAGAAAATCCCTTTCGTTGGATGCTTATTTCCGTCTGCAGCAGCAAGCAGTTACAGTCGGAGAGGGCTAGTGGGAATACAAGCGTGTGTTTGGAAGGGTTTTTATTACAAAATGTATCAGGGTAAAGAATTTTTCGAAATAAAAGAGTTTTATGTTTGTGAAATCTGTCGAAGCCATAAAGCTTGTTGCAATCCGCTGGTGTCGTCCTTAATAATTGTCCAGTGGAAATCAAAGCCAAAACCACGTGTGCGGAAGGTGTATATACCTGACACGGACATTACGTGTACAATTATGTAAGTCATGTTTCAGTATACCTTTCCCTTACACACACTTACATGCTCTACACTTCTTCATATGCTGGGAGACCGGGCGGGAGCTTAGAGTTTGTTCTAGCTGGAGTGGCGCCCTGCTGGTGGGATATACATGGTAGGGAGACCCCGCTAGCTGATGCGAAGGTCAGTGTCGAATCTCACCATCCAGCAGGGAAATTCAGTGCCACCTCCCGAGGATATAGCATACTCTGTACTTACGGTATTATTGACCTCAGCAGTTGACCCGCCCGGAATCAGTAATCAATAAATAAATAAAAAATAAAAAACAGTTTGTTGGGGCACCAGCCGCCACCTAAGTATTTTTTTCTTTGCCAAGACTAGAAGAACGCCCTAACATCATGGTAAAATGTTTCCATGGTGTCAGTTCATGGACGTGTCCAGGTGTCGTGGTGATTTAGGCCTTCATTGACTTTAAGTATTTAGGGATGTTTGATAATATCCACAGCCTCTTTTATCGATTCAAATTTCAACTCTCAAATATCAAACTTGCTCAAAAAAATCAATGCCAACCAAGGTCTACGTCTTCCTGAAAATATCAACAGCGGTCACCGCTGCCCCTTAACGTCCGACCACGGGCGGACCTTCTTCCCCTGGCCTGATTAGCCGATGCTTTCTTGGTCGATCGTCTGGCTAACCGACTGGCGGGTAAATAGGAACCTCGGTCTATTTCGGGGTTGTCCAACTGGCAGGCCGCATGCTGCCCGCGGTTCCATATATTGTGGCTCGCGAAAGGTCATTAGTCGAAAATGAAAGTCCTTTGCATCCATGTCGGGCGAGAACATTATGTGCCTAGTACATACGCTGTGCCACTTCCTTTGCGTAAAAATAGTTTGTCAATTGGGGTCAGGTTAACTGCTTGGTCAGTAGGAGCAAAACGAAATTAAATCGTTTAACACATTTTAAAAAATACAAGTTACATACCTTTAAAACTACCAACCTTTAAAAATGTGTTCAATGGAATTATCTGACACTTTTTGTAGCTGTTTGTAACTGTTGGTTCTTTCTCATTTTGTATATCCCTGAGGATGGAAACATTTTCCGAAACGTCCGCAAACAACGATGGCTTAATTTCGTGTTGCTGCTACTGACCAAGCCATGTTAATGTGGCGCCAATTGATTATTTATGGTCGATAAGGATTCTCCAAAAAATAGTTTCTTTAGATACAAGGATTTTTCTAATAAATTCAGAAATTTAAAATCATACCTATATGTTTCACTGCATTATGCATGGTGCAGCCTGATATCACTCATGGCTCCACCCCATCCGTTTCGGAGCAGGCGGGCAAACGGCCGAGATTAACAGTTTACGGGGAAGTCGTGTGGATCGCCCGAGCAATGGAAATGTGTCTCGCAATAATATGAAAAGTGTTGGTTGAGGCCCTTAAGACCGTGCAAGTTGGACACCCGTGCTCTATGAAAACCCGTGTGCAGTTAATGTCCGCGCATTGCGCCCAGAGGAAGGTCGTAGCTTGACGGTAGAAACTCCGAAGCCAACAATTTCATAGTATGATATTACGAGCAGAGATTATTAGTTAAGTCCAGAGGCGGATCCAGAAAGTATTTCAGGGACGGGCCAATTGTAGTTGAGATTCCCCTTAATAATTTATGAAATAAAAAAGAATTTTAATGTTGGCTTAAAATAAAAAGAATGTGTTTATTACGGGACTACTTCTTTTGATGTGATGCGATTCTTATATGGTAATGGTTTTGAATAAATTGAGTGAAATTATAACAATAACAAATATATGGGATTGAGGGGAGGTATGATCAACATGCATCCTCCTCCTTCCAGTCTGCTAATGGTGAATCCCCAGCCCCTCTTCTTGTGAGCACACATCACCACTGGTTATAGTTTATTTTCATATAATAATTATAATAATGAATTTGTCACATAAATACAGCATACGCCATGTGTGACAAGCCAGGATATGTATATAATCATACAATACACAATACAAATATTTCTAAAAATTAAATACAAGACATAAATTAAGTTTAAAATCCAATTCTCGTATTAAATACAATATCATGGAAAGCTAACTAATTTTATACTCGGTAGTGAAGGAAGACTTAAGTTAAAAATCAATAATAATAATAAAAAATTAAGTTCTTGATAGATTCGTGCCTAGGCTGGGCCCGTCCTTTTTATCCAAAAAACAATTTAAGGAGGTTTGAAAACATGCAACAGAAATTGCAAAAATTATTAGTACTAGTTTATATTGATGTGTTTATGATGCATGTATTCTTTTGTACTGTAGAATGTGTGGTTTAACAGGAAAGCCTTCAGTTTATTTTTGAATGTGTGTATAGAGTTTAAGCTTTTAAATTCACTAGGAAGTTTATTATATAGTGTAATGCCTTCTATAAGGGTATTTTTTTTGAAAGAGTGAAGTTTTACTGTGTGGAACATGCAGATTTCGTTTTTGTCTAGTATCATAGTTATGAACTTCTGTGTTCAGAGTAACAGAGTAATTCCCAAAATTTGAAGTTTGGATAACAGTATGTGATGGTCAATAATGTTGAATGCCTTTGATAGATCTAGAAACAAACCAATGGGGATTTCTTTCTGATCTAGAGCAACAAGTATATCATTTAGAAAGTTGAAGATAGCTGTGTCTGTAGATCTACCATTTCTGAATCCATGTTGGGCCTCCGTCAGTATGTTTTATGTGGTCACCCTTAGGATATTAATCTGGCCTTAGTTCTGTCTTGTTTGTCAATAACCTAACTGCAATTAATTATGTAGAATATGTTATATGTTTTTTGGTATATTCATGAATAGAAGCAAACTTTGTCAGGACCAGTCTTCAATAGAATTGACTAGAATATAGTGATTGTTTAATGTTTGACCTTTCTTTCCTTCCAGAGCAAGAGAAGAAATGGAAAGGAAAATGCGGGAAGAATCTCAGAAAAATCGAAGACCTTCACGATTTGAAGTTGTACCTGCCCCAGATATTCTGAAATTGCAACAGCGATCAACAAATGAATTATCTCCTAAACTTAAAGACACAGTCTGTATCTTCTTTATTATCATTATTTTAAATGAAGTCAAATGCTATTCATTTCATAAACACCATTGCAAAACCTTATTAACTGTATAATGACATGCTTAAATAGGAATAGGGAGGAATTCAAGAAATTTAATACAAAAATACGTAGAATCAAGAGACTGCTGCTATTCAAAACATTAGATTGTCTAGAATAGAAGACTACTACAAATGTTTATTATTTGCCAAGATAAGGCAATCAATTAATCATATAAGCTGAGATACCTTGTGTTACAGTGTACTTACTTATACTTAAATTTTCATTAACATTATGAAGAGTTTGTTGGGGATCAGATTACTGGAATAATTAATTCAATTATAATTTGCCCATTAGCAAATTAAAACTAGATAATTTTGATCCAAATTCCATATTTTCTTTCATACCGCTATGAAACTTATAAATGAAACAAATTTAACTATTAAGCAGGAAAATATAATCAATTTTAATTATCATATAAAGGACAAATAAGAAAGAGCTTCTTATTGGACACTCTTAATTTTCTTTTTATTTACTATCAATATATTTTCAACATCTTTCACCAGTTTCATTCTTAAAATTAAAATTACCATTCAAAAATTAAGTTCCATTATTGCACATTATGTTAATAATAAATTTTTATTGCTTATAGACTTATAATACATAAGATTCAAGCAAAGTCAAAATCATAGTAATTTTTTACAATAGTATTTTGGTTGATATAATTTATGTTTTTAAACTATATAATACATAGACAAAATTATATAGTAACAATAGATATTAGAGTAACATATAATAAAAATCACATAATTGCACTGGGAAAATATCATTAAATAAAATCCATATTACTTACAATATATAATTCAACTACAAATATATGAAATACATTTTGATTTACATTTAGTAAAATAATATCATACATTAAAATTCACTTAAACAGTATGGGAAAATTTTAATTTGATAAAGGTTTGTAAATTTGTTTTCATTTTCTTTCTTAATATAGTTTGGGAGTTTATTATACAGTATTATTGCTTTTCTGTATAGGTCTTTATTTTACAAGGATTTAGAAGAATGTGCTCTGTGGTAGTTTTTCTGTCCTCTTTTATTTTAGTGATACATTTATTCATTTTGGGGCGATTGGTTTAGTGGTGTTCCTTTTCATTAGCAATATTATTCTGTACATCATGAAATGGGAATAAATGCATTCTTAATTTTTTTTTCTTTTCAAATTGCATATCTTCTAAGCTCTGTCAAGTTTTTGATATAGTCCAAAACAGTTGCATATGGTTAACAAATTTTAGAAAAATATATCTAAATAGCCTACTACTCAGAAAGGTGCTTCCTCGTAGTGAGAAAGATATTTTCACTGGTGTATATAACCTTAATTTAAGACTTCATTGACATTTGCTTTTCTATGAATTTCTGTTTTATTCTACAAACTTAAACCATTTTGGATCAGATTACACCTGGAGTTGGAAGCCAACCAAAAAAATCTATTCTGAAGAAAACATATTCTTTCACAACACGCAGTTTCAGCCCTCTCGTGAGTCCTAATATGACTCCTTATACTACTGTCACAGGAGCAGAAAGCCGGTAAGTCCATTATTTATATACTTCCTCAGAGAACGTTTCATAAAACAGTAATAAAAACGTATGTTAAGATTTATTGTAGCAAATCTTATTTGCATGTTTAAAAGAAAATTTTAATAATTGTCAATTACAATTTATATTTGTATTTAGAAATAGATTATAATGTTTCTTATAAATAATAATTACACAGGCTTGCAAAATTACGTTATTGAGAAATGTTTGAGAAATTTCATCTGCAGTTTACAGAATTGTGTATGCTGATTTCAAATATAAGCTCTTTTCTTTTCTATCACGTAAGGCTTTTCCACAAAGTGTATTTGAGTATATGGGAAAAGAATAAATAAATTCAGTTGTTAGAGAAACATATTTGTGAATTGAAATTAAGGGGATCACATCAAAAATTTTATATGCAGAAAATAGCTTAGAGAATTCATTAACTCCATACTTTGTGGTACCATTTTCGTTTCTCATCAAAGCTTAAGCTTAGGATAAAAAATATTTTTAATTTTTAGATTATACCCAACAACAGTACATGAACAAAAGTAACAGTCAGGACCGTGATTCATGGGCTGCATCCATAACATTAGATCCCAAAAACAGAAAAAATTCTTCATAACTTGAGACCATTGTCGGAGTTCCTCCAAACATTCAGCATTCTTTGTGTGGCCCCCACGGTTTGTCTTGATCGTCTAGTCTAGTCCTCAAGTATGCGTAATAAACATTTTTGTAAATTTTATAAATTCAGTAATGATTCTTAGTTGTTCCATCACAATAAGTTCTTAACAAATATAACAAAAGTTGTCAGATGAATTTCAACAGCCTCTTGAGGTCTGTACTAATTGTCTACTACACCTTCAGAAAATAACTCAGGATTGCAGGGCAACTGTACTTCTTCCAAAGAACTCTATACTGGAACGACAACCGACTACAAGTTCTAATGACAGTAGAGTTCAGAAGTGAACAACAAAGGAACTAGTTCTACAATAACAATCTATTCTTCTTTATGTAAGAATTCTCCAAAGTCAGAACAACCAGGAGCAGGAGTATGAATGGCATGGTAGAAAAATAGATTTATTCTCTCGACCTTACAATAAAAATATTAATTTGTGCAAAAATGATGGGTGATGGAAATTTTTCATAAATTTTTATGAATTCAGCTCACCAAAATCTGTATGAATCAACTATTAATTTGCAGATGATGTTTCCGTCACAGTTGCATGTGATGACAAAAAAACTGTTTAATTTTTAATTTTTGCTGAAACATAATTAAAATGCTTATTTGTGAAAAAAAGTTGGGTGATGGAATTTTGTATTGATTTGTTTCTAAATTCAGCACACTGAAATCGGTATAAATCAACCATAACTTGGCAGACAATTTTTTAGGTGTAGGCCTGTGTTGTTATGTAAATGATTGCTGTAAGATATGTATACATGTGACAGAATTTTCTAAAAATTTATCACTGAAACACAACTTGCCTCTTCAATTGTGGAGTTGCAAACAGAAACTATATCCTTACAGTATTTAAAATGTTATTGAATAGCTAAAAACAAACTTATGTTATGTTAAAGACTCTTTTTAATTCGGGTATTAATTATTTGTATCAAGAATAGCACTTAAAAATATTTCAAGTATTATTCTTAATAATTATTAATGCAGTAAAATCTATGACAAACATGACAAAATAAAACAAAAATGACAAAAAATTATGCACAACGGTCATCAAAAATTAAATGAAAACCTGGGAGTTTAATTATGTATGTTATGGGCTAGGTATTGTCTTCTTGACTCATGACAGCTTGTTTTGTTTTTTTTGCCATTGGAGTCCTTGGCTATTTAAGTTTTGAGTTAGCTGTTGTCTCTCATTTCCTAAAATAAGACAGTCATATATTATGTGATCTACTGATTGTTCTCCACTAGAACAGGGGAAGTTAAATTGTCATTAAGTTTGAGTCTGTGGTAGTGAGATCCATGTCCTGTCAAGCAGTATATCTTTATTTTATTGCACATTGGAATTTCTATTCATAACTTGTCTTCTATCATTGGGATGAATTTTTTTGTTTCTTACCACTGCTTTTTCCTATTACTTGGCTTTCTTCTTGTAATAGTTAATTTTACTTATGGGTATTTTTCCATAACATCTAATCTTCCATAATGATCTGTGCTCTTCAGTGAGTTTTTTTGCCTGTTGATCTGCTTTTTCATTACCTTCATTATGGTTATGAGATTTTACTCATTTAATGTTAATTAACCAATTCTCTACTAACCAGTTCTCCAATTTTTTGTCATATTTCTTGTATGATGTTTATTTGTATTTATATGTATGTATATTTCAGTCATGATTATTGGCATGGTAAATGGCATTTCTTACATTGTAGTCTGTGTATAATACCAATATTTTATTTATATGCATTTGTTTTTGTTTCATCATTTTTAGGGCTTTCAACATGGCACCTGATTCAAGGAGCAACTATTAATTCATTTAAGATGCAGTGTTTGTTAATTTTTTGTCACTCTAAATATCTACTTTGGTCCCATCTTGTTAATTTTTTTCTTCAATCTGTAAATATTTCAATGTTGTTGTAATTGTTGTCAGTTTCGTCCATGTGCTTGTCTGTACTTACTGGGATCAGAATTGAATGTTGGTCTATCAAGATGTAAAATGCACTTTTTAAAAAAAATGTCAAAGTTTGAAAAAATCCCCCAATTTCAATATTTTTCTCTTCTTCTTTGATTTAGAAGAAATTTCCATACTTTGAGAGGCTGTTAACAGATTTATTGAATTTTAGTCTGAATTAAATGCACAGAGAGGATTGAAATTCATAAATTTTTTAAATTAAAAGTTTTCGTGCTGGTAGGGAGTGTGAAGGGGTGAATTAATTATTCACTTCAATTTGGTAATAGATGATGTTCCACTTTCAGGGAAAAAATCCATCCATTTTTGTCCAAAATTGTGCTACAAAAATTCGAATCTAGCCCAAATCGGAATCGCCTATTAGTGACCTGTTTTTTAAGAAGTTGGATACACATCTCTATGTAAAATGAAATTAAAAATGTTGCATTGCAGATATCATGCAACTCAATTGAGCATGCTACATCTACATTTATAGCTACTGTATTTGATTATAAATACTATATTTGAACAAAAACTGCCATGCGGAAAATTGTCACTATGCAGATCAATGGTCAATATTGTTTTCAGCAACCAAACCATTTGCACGGGAGTTTAAATAGTTTGATTTTTACTTTCATATTTATAAATATGAGAAATAAAACAACTTTTAAAATTTAGAACAAATATAAGACATTTCAAAAATGTGACCCACTTGCAGCATTGGTATTCCTGAGCAAAGATGTTTTTTTATAAGTGATTTAACACTTGATCAAGTAGCTGGTTATCTCAGTTACAAGGAAACTCTCATTACTTGTCTCCCCCAATTGAGTTCTTGACCAATTTGATTTATTATGTAGCAAGTACAAATGTATACTAGAGTTAAGATACAGAGGAACTGATACTATGTAAGTAACAATAGTAATAACGAGCTACAGTAATAACAAGAAAATTGGAAACTTAATAGAGTGCTTTAAATCTTCATTAGTCAGAAGGTCAATAGCACCAGATATGGCAAATAAATGTAAAACAAAAGGATCTCACAAATATAAATGTAAAACAAACATCATTTCAATAATATTTATGAATTTTACAGCGATAGGTGTGAGTATTAGTGTCTTGACAGTTATTTCAAATAACAGTAGTGTTAATGATCATGGCTATTTAATTTTGTAATATCTGCAGCATTCGACTGGCATTTGAGGCAATTTTTCGAAAATCAGCAACTCTTCAAGATGTGAACCCTGATCAGGGATCAAATGGTGATGTTGATGCTACTGATGGTGAAACATTAAATCAATCTGCTGATGTGCCAACAAGCCCTAGAGCTTCAAAGAAAGTACAATTGGTATGTTATATTTGTTCGTAATCTTATTCATATATATTTATATTTTTCCCCCCCTATTCTTCTAAATTCATTTGTTCACAGCCCCATGAAAGGGTCATAGACATGTCACCTGAAGATCAGAAACACTGGGAAGAGGAGGAAATGGGGAAAAGCATCACTTTTGACAAATGTCATATTGACCCAGCTCCTTTTCAACTAGTGGAGAAAACATCCCTCCTAAAGGTGCACTCATTGTTTTCTATGGTTGGAGTAAACCATGCATATGTCACTACAATTGGAAGATTAATAGGTGTGGTAGGCCTAAAAGAAGTAAGTATGAATAAATGTAAAATATTATTTTATCAAGAACTTCATCAGATTTTATATTATATTGTATGATAGTGGTATCCTCAGAATTTAAAACAGGAGTATTTTTTATAAAATATTTCTATTTTAAATGTGTGTATTGATTATCTTTAAATATCCACTATCAAACAATATAATATAGACAATCAATGTGGTTTTAATTAAGAACTTTTTATATTATTAATTATTCCAAGCACAAATTACTTACTTATTTAGAATTAAAATGTCATTATTTATTGATGTTTAGCTTAGAAAAGCAATTGAAGATGCCAATGCTGGAAATTTACCAGCTCACCCTCCTCAAAATACTCCAGTGACTGGCAATGCATTACCTACTAGTGATCCAAGAAGTAACAGCACTGTGACCTCAATGGACTCTGCTCTAAGTAGCAACACAGCAGCCAGTGAATCGGATGCAGAAGAACATGTGCAGTTGAAACGATGACCCAAAGTATTTATAGGTAGTAGAATGCCCTGAGATTCAGTTATTGTAAATATGATACTAAGAAAATCTCATTTTCAAAACAGTTGTACCATGTGATGGTGATCTCTGCCTTTTTACTAGATAATTTACAAATTTATGGTTCAAATGCTTAACAAATTTTTTACAGGCTTGAATTTTATTTCAATGGTAAACATTAAATTTTATTTTTGGTAGCTATTTTTATCTTGTCAGGTTTTATGATAGAAAGTAAAAGATTAATTTCTTTTTAACTGTTCTACCTAGCAATGCAGTTTTAAATTCATGAAACATTCTTTGTACTCCTCTTTTCATTAATATATTATGTTGTACTTGATACTATAAAGAATTTCATGTGGTACCTATTACTTTGTTAGAGTAGTTAGTATTACTAGTTTTTAAATGTGTTATGTGAATGTTAAGTTTCATACATTATGAAAGGAGATTAGATATAATTTTAGCAATAAATTATACCCTTCTGATTCAAAAGATGTACTATAAAATGTGAAGAGCAGAAATTTCTTCAGCAATATGGACATTACAACTGTCCTTTTTATATAACTTTAAAAATTAAAATTAGAGTGCAACTAGTCTAACCTGTACACAATAATTATTATAATTTTAACTACTTTTCCTGCCTGTAAAGCCTTGTCTTCATTTACACATTTGCCTATAGTGAGACTCCAGGTACAGTCTTCTTTTTATTTGTCAAATTATGAAATATATTCCTAACTGTGATAATTTTTAATTTGACTGTAGTTAGTTTGCCATCCCTCACATCTCATTTGAATCAAAATTACTAATAAATGTGATGACATATTTGATATTCCATAAATTGCTGTTAAAAGTACCTGTGGTATGTGCGCTGCTTTACCAGTACAGCCATTATTTAAGCTCTTGTAATGTATATGAAAGATGTCTGGTGCTTGTAAAATAAAATTGTAAATCAAAGAAATATATGCATTAAAAATGCATCGCTAAACAAAATGCTCACCATTTAATTAAAATAATTTCATATTTATTCTTCCCTTTTATCACTACCTTGAAAGAAAATTATAAAATTTACTTTAGAAATAGTTTTAATTATTTTAAATGGACACCTTTGAGAGATAGGCTCAAAAGATATGACATGAGTAATGTATACATCATGAGTTAAGATGGTAAATTCATCCTCTTTATGATCAGACAATCTGGGAAAAGTATAAATGTCCAGAGTCTGTTTTTTTGCGGAGGGGGGGGGGGGACAAAATTTACTACAAAACAATGAGATAACATTCTTAACAAAACTCTCTGATCTAAATATAAATATTCTGACAAATAACTGTCAGTTTTTCCTTTTTTGTGGAATATATTACATAATTTTAGAAAATGAATCAATAAAAACACTTGAGACAAATAATTAATATTGCTCTCAATTGGAAAACATATATATGTGAATAGCTTCAGGTCATGTTTTCAAAACCAGTCAAGTTTCAGGAAGTATCCTCTAAATAAATCAAAGTAATTCATTACCTTTCTTTTTCTAATTGTTTTAGCCATCACTTTCAAATTACATTTGAATAAATATTAGAAAGCAAGATAGCAGGGGTGCAATAAAATAATACAAATCTGGGGGCAATTATTGCATGTAATTAAAACAATTCCCCAAATCACCTAAAAATCTACAAGACCAATCTAATTGTTCCTCATGTTTCATGACAATGACTGATCATTTATTTGATATTAAAAAACACAGGTAGAGAATACTTTGTTAGAAAAAATATAAACAATTTATCCTTAAATTTGAATGTTTATTCTGGATATTATCTTATGTTAATATGATTGTAATGAATCAGTGATATTTAATATAAAATTATAACTTATTCAGTGACTAACACATTAGATGGAGATCCTTTGCCGAGGCCCTAGGCTTTGAAAGGAACTAAAAGAAGAAGAAAACACAGACAAGTCCTTATATAATGCCTGTGAAAAAAAGATTATCCTCAAAAGTGTTTGTCTTCCAATACATCCTCCCACCAAAGTGAACACTGTCAAAATGAACACTGCTTCATTTAATTGGAAAATATAGAACTTTCAATTGTTCTGTCATTTAACAATACTTATTACTGTAAAATCAAAATAACATTGTAAATAATTTAAAAAGTACCAAAACTGTTTTACTACTTTTGGAAATTGTGCAATAACAGCAAATTAACTATTTACTTTAAATTTTACTTTTACACAATATATAATTCATAAATGCATGTTAAACACAAACTAGAGAAATTCACAACTCTTAAGACAATTACTTTAGATTCAGATATTTCAATTCAATACCAATGACTACACTTTTTAGTCAATTATGATTCGTTAATAGAAGGTGGTAGTAGTAGTAGTAGTAGTAGTAGTAGTAGTAGTAGTAGTAATAATAATAATAATAATAATAATAATAATAATAATAATAATAATAATAATAATAATAATAATAAACAATTATAATAATTATAATAATATGTTATATGAAAGAATACTCTTAGAAAAACTACAGAAGGTAGAGAAACAACTCGCTGAATATAGAACAACTTGAGGCAGTAATAAGAAAGATAAAAAATAGGAAAAGCCCTGGACTAGATGAACTCAATATAGAACTCGTAAGATATGGAAGAAAGGAGCTGAAAGAAATGTTATTAAAATATTTTAAGACAGTATGGCAAGAGAAAACAATTCCAATATAGTGGCAAGAGGGTTTGGTTACTAGAAGGGCTCAAAGACATGTGACCGTTATATGGGCATTGCATTGCTATCAACAGAATCTAAGCTTATATGCAAACATGCTGAGGAACAGACTCAATGAAATATGGGAGAATTTCATAGGAGAAGACCAGTGTGGATTCCGAAAAGGTAGACACACTAAAGATGTCATTTTTACATTACAGATGTTAGTAGACAAAAAAAAAGGGAAAGTAATCTACCAACTTCTATAATATTTATTGATTATGAAAAGGCTTATGACAACATTAATAGACAGAAACTCCGGGAAATACTAGAAGAGGAGAACTTTCCTAAGCAGCTGCTCAATGCAATACGAAGCCTATACGAGAATTCAAGAATTAAAATACTGTTAAGAGAGGGAAGAAAGTCGGCAGCAATAACAACCAACAGTGGCTTAATTTACTAAGAGCAGTTTTTGGATTGACAAATGTGGCCCAAGAATAATCCATGAAGATAGTAGTTCAGAAAACAAAAGTGGCAATACAAGGCAAGGAAAAAAATGGTAATAAATGGAAAATTAGCAGAACAAGGAAAAAAAGTTCATATCTTGGAAATATCATAAGTGAATACAATCAAACTCAGGAAAATGTATAGAAAACAAATATACGATAATTACAATAGAATATGTGGCACAATAAGACACTTTGGCGGAGATATGGACCCAGAAACAAAACAAACTCCACATCATACTAAAACTAAGACTAAGTAGCTGCTACACCTAGAATCATGTATGGTTCTGAAACATGGCTAATGAAAGAGAGAGACAAGCAGAAAATGCAAGTGGCACATATGAGATTTCTAAGACATCTCATGGGAATCACAAGAAGAGACAGACTGAAAGAAATTGAAATCCAAAGGATTAGTAGAAGAGATGGAACAGTATCAAAAGGGGATAGAAAGATCATTTACAGAGAATGAACAACAAATTGCCAAAATTAATCTGGAAGTACACACCAAGAGGGATCAGAGATAAGAGGCAAACCACTAAAGAGGTGGCAACAGGAGGAACACTTGGTAGGCTAATAATCTTACACAAATACTGCAATAAAACAATAGAAACAGGCTGTAAAGCCTCCTTTCTGGACAGTTAATCACAATGATTAATAGATCTGATAATATTTATTGTGTCACAATTATAAAATGTATCATGTATGAAAACAGTAATTATTATATTCTTTACAATAAAACAAAATAAGAACATATGATCTAAAAATAAGAATAACTATTAATGTTGACAGAATGATAAATGGTGACTGTAAATAACATTTCACACAGCAATGATTATATAAGCAAAGATATGTCAGCACAACTAAGATATGTTGAAAATTAAAACTTATTAAAACCATATTGAAAAAAAAATCCCTTTGCGACAATTTCGAGTTTTCGTTTGAAAATAAAAGAGTGTAAAGATTAGGTATCTAAAACGTCTTTAGGTATCAATGTTATATTGTTCATTTATTAGACTAGACGATGTAGTTTCATAACTGAAAGAACGCAAGTATGACAAACTTCCCATCGCCTGTCAACTTGGTGTTTAAATTCCCCACGACTGACCACTTCCCTAACTATCATTTATTTCCGTATTTTAATATTACTACTGCCACTTCAAAAATGTCCATATATTATTATATTTATGTATAATACGTAAGTAGAATAGACTGAATGTTGCTAATCAAACGTAAAGCCACAATGGACTCGTGGACACCGCCCTACACAGCGCTGTCACTCCTATCGCGGTGGCTGTGCTTGCTATCTCGTCGAGAAACGCTTACATGAAAGCGTAACGACATGTATACAACTAGATATTTGAACATATCGATTGAACAACATATGATAGAGATAAATAAATCAAAAAGTACTGTACAGCCATCATTGAAAGTATATGATTACATTCGCATTTAACCAAGAAAAGGGAAACTATATGATAAAATTTGTCTGATGCAGTTGGCTGCAATGCTTTAACATAAATTTTCCAGTGAATGTGCATCACTTCTTCTTGTCAAACAGATAGTATACCGATTTACACAGTCATATTATGCTTATTATGTACGCATTTCTACGCGGTACAGGGTCTGAGGATAGAACATTACACTATTCGCCATTAATAAACCGTATTTCCTCCTCTTTGTAAATAAAGTTTGTGGAAATCCCGGCAATATATTATCATCAATTACTTTAAATTAAAATCAAATAATTGTAAAGTGCGCGCATGAGAAAGAATGCGAATTTTCCAATGACATGTCATAACAGCCATCATATCATTGCTTCCTTAAAAAATAACAGAATACGTCTTGTACTACTTTAGTTCATCTAGATCATATATTTTTATTAGCTCTTTAAGTTTGTCGGGTTAATCAACGCATGACCAAAGCTAAATAATCCGTCAAGATGTTTAATACGACGTCTCTTCTAGAGACGAAAAGTAATAAAATTCTTAACTTATAAAAATTCATTTTATATCACTTAACCGATAATTAAAATGAATATTGTGTTATTATATTCACGATATTATTCGATTTTCTCACTAGAAAGTGATGTTAGAGCATTTAATGTTCGCTCTTCAAGTTTCATTTCGGAAATCGACGAAGGGTGACGTCATATGGCTACGGGGCTTTCAAAGTTTAGTAGAGGGAAGCCGCACCCTGCTGGGATAGTGGTATTTTAACTGTTATTCCAATTGATAGGTTTCAAGCAAAATACTGTTAATATTCGAGTTGTATGACTCCCTGACCGATTTAAAATCATCAGGGACGATTTAAAAATGTGAGTACCGCTTTAATTTTACATATAGTCCTGTGGATCTTTCTGTTGGAACGTTAAGGCGACAGTGTGTGCGTATCATCAACGGAAGGGAAGTGGCGATCCTCGATTCACTTATAGTAAACGGGAATCAAGGTAAATAGGAAGTACGTGACCGTGTTGCTGCTACGCTGGGAATGTTTTAAATTTGGTATGTAAAATTATATTGTGTGTGGACGTAAGTAATTGCAGGGAACTGATCGCAATAGTATTCTGTTGCACAAATCCTCGGGACCGTCATGGCCGATTTGTTCCGGAGGCAAACGCTGTCAAAAACGATTTCTGAAGTTCATTAAGCTGCCAGAAAAGGCACAAAGTGCTTTGTGATAACATCCGTTGTGTTTAAACATTATAATTTGGATATTTTGTAGGGAATAATGTTTGAGAATTGTACATTGACTTGCAAGGGTGCCGTAATTTCGTAATCGAAGACCTCTGTTGAGGTGGACTTGTTGGATGTCGCGTTGAAGTTTAGCACAAGTGCGGGTGAATTTCTACGTGTTTTGTGTGGTTAGTAGTATTTGTGTTAACGTGAGTATAATGATATTCTACTAGTTAAATGGATTGTGTGCATTCGATTAATTCTATTTCTCTTTAACATTCGACAACGTACGTGGTCATATTTCGGGAATGTATGATTTTAAGTTGGCGTATTCGATAAGTCAATTGTTACATTTTATATAGATATAGGGAAAATGTCTGAAGTACATTACATCGTGGCTGCTTCAATTACACTTGCAGGTTAAACATAAGTTCACTTTCCAAATTCTTGGAGAATTGAGATTTTGAGCATTAAGCGGTATTTCAAGTGATAGCTTCGGAGAACTCTTGAAATGAAAGCTTCGATTTAAGCGTTTTCAATTATATTAAATTATTAGGTATGTTATGATCCTGAATATATACCTACTGAATATTTTCCAGAAAGGGATGTTTTGTACTTCGTTAATGTGTTATCTAATTTACTCATCACTAAATGTCAAGAAGAGATCATTGCAACAAAAAAGCATTCCAGATTTTATTTTAAAACTTTTAGTATTTGCATTATGTACTACTCAAATTACACTAAGGTATTTTGGAGTGATTATTGTGCCATACAAAATTGTGGTTATGTATGCAAAAACTGAGAATAGGTTCAATCAAATTTTGAAAGATAGTTTAACTGTGAAATTTGTCCATATGTTTCATTGAACATTAAAATTTTTTGGAGGGAATGGAACGTAAGATAAATTTTGCATGGACAGAATTTAATGAGATTCATTTAGTACTTGAGTAGGGTTGAAAAAAATAATTTTAGAGCTGTGATGTATTTGACAAAAGTGAAACGGTACAAGTTGTGTGAAGTAGATTGGAACTTGCATTATTGAGATCATACAACAGATGCTAAAGATGTCAATATTTGTACACTTTCTTGAACCCTCGCTTCACTACATGCTGGAGGAGTGGTGGGGTTTGTGGCAACAGGACTGTTGTATCAAATTTGAAGGTCATTTTTCAATGCAAGAGTTTCTATTACATGGTAGGGAACGTTTCTGGTTACCAAATTATATGAACAACCCTTTTTACTATAATTTACTCTAAATTTAAGAAATGTTAGTGATGTAGTGAGGTTTGGAATTCTGAGTATCGTGAAAATGTGCAAGTCTGTAATACATAGGATTGATATTTTAAATAAGCATTTCATTTTGTTGTAAAAGGACAAGAAGTCATTTCTTTTAAATCCTACTTCACCTGCGTTATCTAGTTGTAATGTGTAGAAATGGTAAAGAACTGTGGCCGCACAGTTCATAGATTGTTGCTGGTTAAAGCTTTTGTATCATCAATTAGATTCAAAGACTGTTTTCATTTAGGAAAATAGCTTTTTCTCTCTTTTTCTTTTGAGAATGGGAAGAAAAAGTTGTTAAAATTATGAAGTTAATTCAAAACAGACTTTTAAACTGTATTTCAAAGTATATTGTTGTTAGCACTGGGCATATTCTGAAGGATATTTATTGCACAGAGTATTGATCAGTTGTTGATTTCATAGAAAATTAATATTCATCCATAATTTTGAAGGCGAAGTTTGAAGAAAGTCTTTAATTATAGTAGCTATAGTATTTGTTCTGAAAGAAGCCTTTGTCTTATTCAAATCAAACTTTGTTGAATATGTGAAATGTAGTGTTTTACATGTGCAGCTTGTGCCGGAATTGTACTAACATTGCTATCCCTTGCCAAATTATGGTTCTTACCAATGATTTAAAGTCTTTTGAAATAGATTTAAAACACAAAATCTGTTTACAGAATCACCAGTTCTGTGTGTTCTGCAAGTATGAATGAATTAGACAGTCTGCGACAAGAGGCAGAAACATTAAAAAATGCCATTCGAGTAAGTATCAAGAGGTAATTGGGATGTTGTGATAATTCATGAAACTTTCTTCTGGTTTTAAATGACAGATCTCCATAGGAGCTTTATAAACTCTTCATTGTTGGTTTGAGGAACTCTAGTGAAAATAATCAATTAAACAAAGATATTCAGATAGTGACCTAGTTCTGACTGATCACAAGCAACTAGTAGAAATTTTAAGTTGATATAAGAGGAATTAATTTTGCTTCACGATTGTATAGACTATCATTAATTAATGGTTAGTTTCAGCATTTTAAGTTGTGGTGCTAAGATCTAAGGATGTGTGTGTTAATGCACACATCTAAAATCCATGTATGTTCACTGGTCAAATGTTTCAGAATTTAATATTTTTAATAGGTGTACATAGAGACTTAAGCATGTGAAATTTGTGCACATGTCTGCAATCCTTCTCAAACATTTATTTGAACTTATTTAATAAAAAATAAAATAAAAGGCTCAATTTTATATTGATCACATGCAGATTGTTTTTCCAATCATGTGAATGTTGTTTTCAGCACATAATATGTGGGCGGGGGAGAAGAATGTGCATGGATGTTAATTTGATTGTGATAGTGTATCTTACATGTTGATTTTGTGAATTGTAGTTAAAATGTTTTTTTGAGGCGGTAAAGTTTGCCTCTTAATAAATGAAGTAAATCTAAAGGATTTTTATCCATGAATGACATTTATTTCCAATTATTATGTAAAGTCATTATAATTATTTTGTTTCAATATTGCTAAAAGAAAGGTTATAATCCATAAATTAAGTGGAATCAATCATAATTTAATTATGGGATGGTATGGCAGAACATCAGAAGCTTCTTGAACTGCAGGATTTTCTGTCCATTGCCTGTTCCTGTCGACCTGATGACATATGCCTCCAGGTGCTTCTGTTCTCCCTTTTTTCTTTGGCTTTCCAATGTTTTTTCCTTGTGTGAATTGGTAAAATAATGCTAGTTTTGGAAGTAATTTTTTCCACAAGTTTCTACCACTTATTATGGTAGCCTTTTATTTCTTTTTCAACAATATGTTTTGTTTTAAACCTTTCCCTTTTATCTGTGTTTCTTTGTTGATCTGATCCAGTCGTTACTCTTGTAATATCATTTACGGTTATCTGAATATCATCTTCATTGTATTTAATTCTTTTAGGCTACAATTGTGATTTGCTTATACACTATATACGTGTATTGTTTTCTTAAAAGCAACCACAAACAAAATAGTTGAAATACAAAAATTCAAAAATGTTTAGTACATCTATCTTATCTTTATCTAAAATCAAATAACTATAATATTATCTGAAGATGAAAGAAATTAAATTGCTTAAATAATTATCAAATAAGAGTTTACAAATCATTTAGTTTCTACAAACTGAATTTGGTGTGAATTCACTGGGGTTATTGTTGTTTAGGATGCAAGAAAAGCTGCATGTGACACAAGTCTTGTGCAGGCTACCAACAACATGGAGCCTATTGGACGAATACAGATGCGCACAAGGAGGACACTCAGGGGTCACCTGGCAAAAATATATGCCATGCACTGGGGTTCTGACTCAAGGTACTGAACATTTTAAGATTTTGCTGCTCTAATTAATTTGCTTTGAATTTGTTTGTATTAATAATGTTTTTAATTTGCATGTTGTATATTTTGACTCTGCAGATATAGCAGTAGTTAATCAAATGATTACAAAGGGTGTTTATTTCAAGTCATAAGCCCACTGTTCACTTTCAGCTAAATATGAAATTCTTGGTGACTTTTAGCATGCTCTAATACTAATGAGGTATGCATTTATGAAGTACTAGATCATTGCATAAAATATTTGTAGTCTTTGATTAGGGCATTTACCATTTGTTTGAAGTAGCTTTAGTTCATTACTTCCTGCAATACTTGCATGCTTGAATGGCATTAATTCTACACTATATGTAAAGTTATCTTATAATTTTTATTTAGTTTTTTTATTATTTTAGTCTTGCTGCACTTTTATATTTAATTTGTTGAATATTGCTTGTAGGAAGTGTTCAGATTGTTTGGTATGATTAGTAAAATGTATTTTTAATCACAATCATTAGAAATAGAATTGTTGCTTAATTCCCCATCCCTTCATGAGCTTTGTAATTTCTTAATCCACAGCCTAGTGCTTTGTTAATGTGAGTTGTGGGCTTGGACTTGATGCTAAACGCCCTTGGCCATAGGCCTGAGTTGACAGGTATACTCAATGTTTAGTATTTCCAGGAACCTAGTGTCAGCATCGCAGGACGGCAAGCTTATAGTGTGGGATAGTTATACGACCAACAAAGTTCATGCCATTCCTCTGCGTTCGAGCTGGGTAATGACCTGTGCCTATGCTCCATCGGGAAGCTATGTGGCATGCGGAGGCCTCGATAACATTTGTTCAATATACAGGTGAGCAATGAATAATTTTAAATGAGTGAATGTATGTGTGGTATTATTATAGATGTAAGTACAAATATTTTGCAAATTGTGAAGTTTACTGAAAATATAATAAATAATTGGAGGTGGTGTTGTTTAATTTGTAAACTCATAACAGCAACTTATTTGAAGCAGTTTTAACCTCAACATGTTGGTGAGTGTAATTGCTGGGAGCTGTGGTTTCTAACATCTGGAGGTATCTAAATGATAAAACTAGATGAGTAGTTGTTTTTAAGCAATTAACAGAACAGTATCTGACCTATGATAAATACTGTGGATGGGCAATTATTTTGCCACCTTGACACTTGTCAAAAGGACTAGGTGGTTGAGTGGGTGGTCTGAGGCGATCTGGATATCCAGTGTTGAGTCTAGATAGCCTGAGTGGGGTGTAATGTAAAGCAATGTTCCTGAAATTAATCCTTTATCTTGTAAGCCTTCTGGGTGGTATTCAGGCCTTTGCCAAAATGTTATTTGAGTTTTAACATGTTGAGAATTCAGGAAAATTTGCTTCAAAAGATGAATCTGAAATTATGGAATTGCATACTTATTCCAGTATTTATCATTTCGCTAACCTTTCCTTCTATCATAGATTAAATTAAATTCACTTGGTTTAATATTAATTCAAATGTTACAGCATCCCCAGATACTGTTCGAAGATTTTGTGTGTATGAATATTGTTGCTGCTGCAGCAGTGTTAGTTTGGTTTTTGTCTTATGGTTGCAGCCTGAAAACAAGGGAAGGAAATGTTCGAGTAAGCCGAGAGCTGCCAGGCCACACTGGCTACCTGTCCTGTTGCCGTTTCCTGGATGATAATCAGATTGTTACAAGTTCAGGAGACATGTCATGGTAATTATGCAAATTTGATTGGTAATTGTTTGAGGTTATGATCATAAAATTTCTTGTTTTATTGGTGAAAATTACTTAGTCAAAAAAATAAACCAAGGAAACAATGATGTCCTTCAATTTGGTGCTAATTTTTGTTGTTGAAAGATAATGGTATTTTCAAGGAAGTTAAGTTTGTTAATGAAAAATAGTGGAAGTTGTGATCAGTACCTCCTACTTCAAAAATTATAATTTGTTAGAACATTGCTGGTTATTTTTTATTTAATCTTGTGTGTGGTCACTGTGACCCCTTTTTTATCACTTTTTATGAACATTTGTATTCTGATTTGCATTTACATTTGGTTTTTGGCATTAGTTTTTACTTATGTAGTGTTAGAGCTGTTAGTTGTTTTTTCCGAAGATGTGCAGTTTCTTATATGTCCAGGTGAAAGTTTTCCCTGAATAGGAGGGAGACCTGTTTGTGCATCCACAGGTGTTGAAGTTAAATTTAAGGTCAAATTGGGAAGGTGGGGATGCAAAGGAAGGACGAAAAACAGTGGTTGCCCTGGTTTGAATAAAATGATGAAACAAAAAAACAAAAAAGGTTCAGTTCATTTAATTAATATTTCTAGTCTTTGAAAATTCATTTATCACCATTATTATCCTGTTCTAGTGAAAAAACTTTAATTCATTTATGATAGTAATAAATTATATCGGATTTTTCGGTGATTCTCAGGTGGCAAATAGTTGGAAAAGAAATTGATGAAAGAAATTGTTCCTTTGGCTGTTAGTTTCTGAAAAATTTTGTTAACCCAGTAAAATTACTTTTCTACAGAATTGAAAAATACGACGGGGGCAATGAAAATAAAATCTGGGACTTCATCTTCTCATGATGCTGTGCAAATTTCCTTAACCTTTGACAGTTAATGTATTGGTTGATTAGCATTAAAAGTTGTAGTCGTGAAATATAAATGGGGGAATAATTCTTGGGCTTAATTGTATTTGTGTATAAAACATTTGAAATATTATGCAGTAGATCTGAGCTGCTGCTACCCAAGGTAGTCTTCAAAAACTAACACTAGTAATCCATTGCAAAACTAAACATATAAGTGTACAAATTAATACCAAGCTAGTACCTGTGCTGGCTGATGCATGATTCTAGGAATATTAAATTATCCCTAAATTCACTAGTAATGGGATTCACGTGATAATTTTGCCCCTCTAAGGTTAAATATATTTATTACAAAGGTTTTTTTTTTTCTTTTTCTCTCTCTCTCTCTCTCTCTCTCTCTCTCTCTCTCTCTCTCTCTCTCTCTCTCTCTCTCTCTTGATACTGGATGTAATTTGATGTACTTACAATAATAACTATTATTGTTGTTATATTAGTTGTGTATTCTTAAACAAAAATGTATACTTTAAGTCCTTTTTTAATTCTTTAGTGAAGTTATGGTAATCAGCATTTTTCTTACGCAAAGCACTTTCGGTCCCAAATACCCTAAAAAATTGTAGATCCTCTTAAAATGAAATTCATCTGCTCTAGTAGCTGCCAAACTTGCTCAGAAAAATCTCACTGTGTTCTCTGTAGTTCATGCAGGATATACATTGTGGAGGAGTGTATTTGTGCCAGTCCTAGTCATACACTGTATTCAATTATTTATTTCATCTATAATTTTACAATAGGTGCTTGTAAAACTTTAATGAAGCATTTAAATAATTATTTATAAATGCTTCAAAAAGTACTGAATTGTAACTTTAGTAAAACTTAAGTTTGATATGATTATGCATTTTCAAGAGTTGGCTGTATTAAGGTCTTCTGATATGCAGGTGACTTAAGTCTCCTGCAATTTTCTTTCTTTCTGCGTTGAATATCAATCTAAATCTTGTATTGAAACTTAATTATCGTCGATTACTTTTTGGTTGTGTGTGTGTGTGTGTTACATTTTCTTTAGTGATTGAGGTTTCCAATATTGAAGAATAGTAGTGCTGACAATAGTATGATTTATACAGGAGCTGGGAGTCAGTACTTCCAAATTTATTTTTTTTATCAGTTAAGTTTCAGAATGCTGTGAGGTATGTAACATTAAAAATAATCTGATTCCTGAAGAAAAATTCTGTACAGTGAATAAGAGAGAAAGGTACAACGACTGTGTCACTTTTCTCTTAAGAAAAACAAGCTTATGCCTGCAAATGTTTTTCCATAAGAGTCTCTACTTATTGTATTAAAAATAGGCCATTTAGGGATTAATCGAATGAACATAGTGCTGTAATGGGTGTGCTTCCAAGGTCATTATTGATTGCTCAATAATTGACAGTGGATGTGTATAACTTCACTGTTCATGTAATTATGATTTAGTTTGAGTTAGCTTGCCTTAGATTTAATATATTGTAACAAAATCAGCCATTTCTGGTTCTTGTCAGACATTCCTGTTTCCAAGGTACAAGTAAGTAAAAAGTACATTTTTATATAAGCTTAAATTACTAAGAGCTAATAATGTGAATTACAGGGGTGTAGGAATGAGCTTTTTGTTGATTCTGCGAGGGATATAGAAGAAATTCCAACCTATGTTGATTAGAAAAGACAAAACGGTGCATTTTCTTTCTTAATCATTCTAGAATCGTAATTCTTTCAAGAAGCTTTTTTTTCTAGTGTCTATTATACAGGTTGTTATTTAGTAAATTAGAAACTAGGCTTTCTTAAACTTATAAAACTAGTGTTTCATAGGTAAGTATTGCTAGCCTCAAATTTGATTCATCTAGAATAACTCCCTTTATTTTTCAATTTTTTTACTGTATTTCTCCAACTCTTTCAGAAAACTTGAAAATATTTGCCTATTAATTAAATGGATGGTTGGATAAATAAAAGAACCTATACAGTAAAAGCTAAGCCAGAATCCTTAGGGTCCAAACTTTTTTCCCTATTTTTTTCTTCTTCTTTTCTTTTTTCTTTTTTTCCAGTCTTAAACAGGTTTGCGATAAAGACTGTCCAAAAAAATTCAGAAAATGCAATTGTTCAAAAGCATAAAAGGTTGTATGAGTAGTTTCTCACCTAAAACTACATTTCAAAGAAACAGACATTCTGAGAGAGACAAAGAAACTTAAACCCAACAAGTAGTCTAATGAAACAAACAGTAAAGAAATATTATTTTTTCAATAGATGTAAGAACAGATGAATTCATCAGATGATTTAGGCTCTGGCTATTCACCTAGGCCCCTGTTAATATTGTGGTAACTACCTATAAACCTTTTCTTTTAACCACTCATTCTTCATTTTCTCTTTGCTTTTAACGTGTTGTACACTTGCTTTCCCAACTGCAAATTTCTTTATTAAAACTTGATAGAAGTGTTGTTTTGTTCATGTACTACTTTTAATATAATTTTCTCACAAGGGTAAACATTTCAATTTGCCACCTGACATACACTTGATTAATGCAGTATCTGGGGCTCGTTGAACTAAGCAAAAGTAAATGTTTAGAACCACTGAACTTGGAGCACACCTTAAAACCACTGTGGAAGAGTTTGTACGAGGGTATGTGAGAAAGTGTATGGATGAGCAGTGCCTCGTGGTATATCACCACACTTACATGTCAATGTTTCATTTTAAAACAATATTTGTTTTTTGTCTTATCCAGAATTTTTGATATTAGCATATTAAAAATTCCTTTCAGATGCCACATTATCTGGCGTATCCAGTGTACTTTACATAGGAAAGTCTGTTCTGAGAAATTCTTCTGTTGTAGGTGACATGATTTCATAGAAAGGTCACGCTTTTCTCAACGTTCATAACATTTTTTTGAAATATAGGTTATGTATCCTAATCTATTTTATCCTCGTCAATCCTTTTTGAAATAGTGTAAAAAGCAAACACAGTAATACCACTTTCTTGACAGTCATGTTTGCTATTAGCTTGTGCGAATTGCTTCTCTGATGGTATTTTCAGTGATGGGTAATATGAGTGTCAGCATGATCCTGTAATGTAAGTATCTATTTTAAATTGTTTTCGGGTTCACATGGATTAAAGCACGACAAACTGTACTGGAACAGGAAAGAAATGCAATTTTCATACTTCTATTTTCCTCGTAAAAATATAATTACTTGGAAACAAACTTGCTTTTGTCTTCTAATTTCTTCTGGCAAATCTTGCCTGTAAAGTCTTAATTTGTGTGTGTATGTGTGTGTGAATACTATATCTGTATCTGTGTGTGTGTGTGTGTGTGTATACACACACACCGATATAGATATAGTTATAGTATTCACGCATGGTGCAAGTTTTGTGTACTTCATACTTCCACAATTTTATTACAATAAGGAATATTCCTTTATTGTAAAACACAATTCCAGAATAAAATAAACCGGTTTCAGGACCAACATTATTTATTTTTCTGTTAGTTTTCCTCCCATCAGATTGAAATTTACAATAGATTTGCTTTCCAATGTTAACGTAAAACAAGAAAATGCTATAAATTGAGCTGATTATTGTTTTTTTTTTCATGTGCCAAAACTTTTTCAAAATTCATTTCAGTGGTATTGTTACACACAGCTGTCTTCCTCTGTGCAATATTGTACATTCTTTTTGAATTGTATGACCATTGCTATATAATTTTGTGGTAATTGGCAATTGTTTGAAATTGTAGAGACCGATGATTGCTGAGCATCCCTAGAGGTAGCAGAGATTTTTTACTTTCATATGTTACTTCATTGTAACTGTGCACCAGAAGACAGCATTTTTTTTTTTTTTTAATTTCATTTTAACAATAAAACTCTGGGCAATTTTTCGATGGGAAATCTACTCCTGAATTGTTGAAAACTATTTTTTTTTAAATTGCTGTAATTCAAAATTTATTAAGTTGGCTTCCGGACTACAATATTGAAGATGTAGATTGTATTCTAAGGAATCAGTTCAATGACAGATGATCAATGACAGAATTTTTTTTAACAACTATCACAAAAGCATCTCAAGATTTCTTCAAATTTTCTCCTCTTGTGTAACAAAGCACTGTTAAAAAAAGGTGCTAGTTCTATTTGCG